GCTGGGCACGTTCCAGAGCGGTCTGCAGACCTACACCGTCGCTGCGGGAGACACGTGCCAGGTGAGGAGCTGCTGCTGCTGCCGCCGCCGCCGCTGGTGCTGCTGCTGCAATTCCCCGGCTCTCCGCTCGCCTCTCCCGCGAGTCTCTCCTGCTCCCCTCTTCTTCCCTCCCTCCCCCTTCTCTTTCCCCGTTTCCCTTCGCTCTTTCCCTTTCTTTCTTATATATTCGCTTCCCTTTTCCTCTTCTTCCGTTTCCACTACAGGTTCTAATTCTTATACCCAACCACTTTCCTGTACCTAACCAAACCACTTACACCTCGTCCCCTCTCCCCTCGCTACCCAGCTCTGCTTCCTACCCCTCACCCTCCTCCCCACCCCTCTTTCTTCCCTCTCCCCACCATCCAGACCCTCTCGCGCGCGTTCAACATCACCCCCGCGTCCCTCGAAGCCCGCAACCCTTTCATAGACTGCGCCGTCCCGCCCCTCACGCCCGGCTACATCCTCATCGTTGCCGGCGACACCAACGTCACCTTCGGCTGCGCAGCCGTCGATCTCATCTCTCCGAACGACACCTGCACCGCCATCGCCACACGTAACAACGTTACCACAAAGGTGTTACAAGCGCTCAACCCGGGCGTGAACTGCTCGCTGCCCGCGCCGTCGCCGTCGCTGCGAGTGTCATCGACGGTGTGTGTGCGGTCGGGGATGCTGTCGACAACCGCGCCGGCGGCTGTGTCGTGTGGGCAGACGTACCGGGTGCAACTGGGGGATACCTGCATGAATGTGGCGCTTAACGCCAGCATCACGCTCACCCACCTCTTGCTGTGAGTGTTTTTCTCGGCTCGCTCACCCGCCTCTTGCTGCAAGTGGCTCACACGTGCTAAGAGTCTGCGAAAGTCCTCGTAACCCACCTTTGCTTCCGCTCCCTTTGCTCTCCCTTACCCCCTCGCAGCCTCAACCCAGGGCTGAGATGCGCCAGCACAACCCCTCTGGACCCATCAATGTTGCTCTGTGTGGCACCACTGACAGTGGAGCTGGTGAGCATGGAGTGCGCTGAGTGGTACTCTGTCACCCAGGCCGACACCTGCAGCCGCATCGCCAACGCTGCTCTGCTCTCCATGGATGACTTCATGAAGCTCAACCCCGGACTCAGGGTAAGCTCTAGTTTTACACCTTGGGCTCTCAGGGTAGGCTCCTGTGTACACCATAACTCTTCCTGCTCTTGTTCTCCTTTTTCTCAGTCTGATCTTTTCTTTCTCCTACTTACGTTTTCCTCTTGTATTTCTCTTCCTCCTTTTTCCCATCGCAGTGTGACCTGCCGTACTTCCAAATCGGGCAGCAGGTGTGCGTCGCAGGAGCAATCGACGCTTTCAGCGCCGACTCTCTCTCATCCGACGTTATCCCCTACACCGTCGTTGCCAACGATACCCTCGCATCCATTACCAAGTATTTCAACACTCTCTGCCTCAACAACACCTTCCCCACTTCTATCTGTGACACAAACACGCTCCCCTCCTGTGACGATTCCGCCATCTCACAAGGGCAACTGCTCCTAATACCCTGCAAAAACCGGATCTTTTCGGATGTCTGCCCGCTGGCAACGTCGGTCGTGTGTGGGGCCGACGGGGTGACGTACAGCAGCGGGTGTGCGGCGAAAAAGGCATATGCGATGCCGTTCAGGGGTGGAGTGTGCGCGCCGTGCGAATCCGCCTGCCGTGGCCGCATGTTCTTAAAGCCTCTCACCGGCACTACCTGCACTTCCACAGCACCGTGTCCCCCTCCCCCATGGCCATTCACTGATCAGGCCCTCACTTGCGGGAATATGTCGCCTTGCGAGTGTTTATTTCAAATATGCGCTTACAACTGTAGACGGGCTTCGGCGTATTTGACCCTGAGTCAACGGCCGGGGTGGGCTCCGAACAGTTGCCTGCCTGCCTGCTACCAGTTACGAACTCCTTGCCTTGCTCGGAAACCGCCTGCTTGGCTTAGGTAGTGTAGTAGAAATGGTGCTTTGGAGGATCGGAAGTGGGTGCTGCTGGTCAGGGTGATCTAGCAGAATAACAGGTTCCCTTTTTGCCTTGTGTTTGTTAAATGTTCATAGGTCCTGCTCATCCACGTTTTTGTTTGTACATGTTTCTACAAATATATAATTCTGACACTTTTCTTTGTTCAGGAGCTTCTAAGTCTCCCAAGTATTGCATGCGAATGGTTGATAGCATATCGAGGCAGTTTTTATTGGCTAAAACGGTATAAGCAGTGCACAGCATGTTCTGTCGCACAGCTGAGTAACCCGCTCAGCATTTCGCTGCCAACGCAACACACGGAAGGGGGATGGCTTCATCAGTTGCTGCAACGGCAGTCCGCAATTCACGCCACCTCTCCTTCGTGCTCCTCGCGCTCACAAAATTCCCGAGCCGCTGCGAACAAATTATTTCCAGAATTCGCAAGCTGAATTTCGCGCCACGCCCTCTCCTCCAATTCCTCCAATTTCGTCGCTCACGCACTTGCTCACAGTTTCAGGTGTGGGAGGGGAAGCATCTGCAATGCTTCCAAATCAAGTCACTTCCCACTTCCACCTCCCTCCATCAGAAAAATGTCGGTCGCTGTCTGTCATGTTTGAAAGCTTGCTAGCGCCGACAGCTGGCGCGATTGCAAGTGGCCCATTGCTGGAGTATAAGCAGCACACTGCCTTGCCAAGCACACTGAACAGACTAGCATTGCGGGTGAATCCGTGATATTTAGGTATTTCTCTTCGGTAACTCGCACAGACTGACGATTCCATCTGAACTCACGGCCCACGCGGTAGGACCAGTCAACCGAACGCAGACGACTCGTCAACCACAGCAGCCATAACCGAGCGTGTATATATAGATTTTCGCAGTCCCTCACGAGCGAGATAATCGACCTAATAGCATCCGCACGAGTAGCGTGTCATGGCGAGTAGGGCTTTGCTAGGAGCAATTGTCGTTCTCTCACTCACCGCAGCGGCGGCTGCGGGGCCGACGCCTGCCGAGTTCATCGCGGAACTGGAGCAGCTGCAGAAGACCCTTCTCAAGAACCCGTTCAAATACTCGATTGTAGCGAACGCGTTACAACGGTCAATCAAACAGCTAAGTAAGTGCTGTGTCGTCACTTTCGGCCAATGTGTTACCATTTCCTTGTTCCTTTTCTATCCCACTTTACCACCACCCAACCTCCATCAACCGCCACCGCTCATCTTCCCCCCTTTCATCTCCTCTTCCTACTCATTTTCAGCTAACGTGATTGACGCGACACCTCAACGTGTAGCTCATCTCCTGTCCTCCCCATACCTTTTTTCTTTCTTTCTTTCTTTCAGAGAAGCTACCCGACGCAAACATTAGTGTGGAGTTTTTATCCGAAAACACGGCGCTAATCCCCACCAACATCGCTCTCACGGGAGTCGGCATACGCGCTATAGTGCCGAAGCTCATGGGCAACCTGATTCGTTTCAATGTCATCGAAGGCATGTACCCTTTCGCACAAATAAAGTCGATTCCCGTTGGCGGGAAACTGAAAACGCAATTGGACGGGAAGCAGCTCGTACGTTTCAAGACCCAGACGGGATTCCTTTCGCATGGTGCAACCGTCGCTCTGGGCCCTCCTGGGGCGAACGTGCTGACGTGGGCACAAATCGACGATCCAGATCTATTCAAGGGGCAGTTTATCCGAGCGCACGGTGTGGATGGCGTCCTCAAGCCCAACGGGATAATATGAGATACGGCGTCCTGCCAACAGCTATCATCCTGAAGACTAACATACTTCATCTATATATACACTCATTGTACTTCTGCACCGTATATAAGTGAGGCTGAGGCAAAGGTTTTCTGTCGGTTTCCCACTCCACAGAGGCTTACTCCTAGGCGGCCTGCTATTGCTGTTGCTTATTTATTGCTTATTATTTTGTTTAGAACTATGGATATGGCATTGCCATTCTGTGCATGACAAGGCCTCAGCTCAATTTAACTTCACACACACAACTTTAAATCAACTGCTAGACTCAAATCACCATGGCAGGTTACACCGTCAAGTTGGTGTCAAATCCATGTACTTCTGCTGCTCAACAGGGGCTGCACATGGGATCTTTTACAGGAAAAGGAACTGGCAGTTTAGAATCAACGAGCCCAACAGGGTGGTGGTGGCCTGGCCTAGAATGGGCGTGGCACCAGCAGCGCTGGCGAAGGGGTGATGCACTAGGAGCGCTGCTCTATTATTGTTTTTAGGCGCCTCAAAAATCGACAGGTGCAATGTACTGGCAGTGCTGGTGGGCTTTTCTATGTGCAAGCAGAGCCTCGGCATAGTGCCTCCACAGTTGGACTTCTCCAAATTCCCAAAGGTGCAATGCAGTGGCATGGCAGCGCTTGTGGGCTCTCAATGCACTGGCAGCAGCTTCTGGGCTCTCAATGCACTGGCAGCAGCTTCTGGGCTCTCAATGCACTGGCAGCAGCTTCTGGGCTCTCAATGCACCGGCAGCAGCTTCTGGGCTCTCAATGCACTGGCAGCAGCTTCTGGGCTCTCAATGCACTGGCAGCAGCTTCTGGGCTCTCAATGCACCGGCAGCAGCTTCTGGGCTCTCAATGCACTGGCAGCAGCTTCTGGGCTCTCAATGCACTGGCAGCAGCTTCTGGGCTCTCAATGCACTGGCAGCAGCTTCTGGGCTCTCAATGCACTGGCAGCAGCTTCTGGGCTCTCAATGCACTGGCAGCAGCTTCTGGGCTCTCAATGCACTGGCAGCAGCTTCTGGGCTCTCAATGCACTGGCAGCAGCTTCTGGGCTCTCAATGCACTGGCAGCAGCTTCTGGGCTCTCAATGCACTGGCAGCAGCTTCTGGGCTCTCAATGCACTGGCAGCAGCTTCTGGGCTCTCAATGCACTGGCAGCAGCTTCTGGGCTCTCAATGCACTGGCAGCAGCTTCTGGGCTCTCAATGCACTGGCAGCAGCTTCTGGGCTCTCAATGCACTGGCAGCAGCTTCTGGGCTCTCCTACGGGTCTTGTGCAAGCAGAGCCTCGGCATAGGGCCTCCACAATTGGACGGCTGAGATGTCAGCATCTAGCGAGTGGCACAGCCCTCGCAGCAGCAGCATGGCCCGGACGATCTGATACAGATGGATGTGGAAGGAAGGGGAGTAAAAGGGGGGGTGAGGAAGTGCGAAAGGAAATTGGATTACTCGACCTGCTAAGAGAGTGGGCACAACCGTCTCAGCAGCAGCAGCATGGCCCTCACAACATGATACACACGGAGGGGAGAGGGGGGAGGAGGCAGAGAGGAAGAGCATGAGGGGTAAGACTGGTTGAAAGCCTTGAGGGGAGCTTTTTGAAGAGGCATGAGAGCAAACAGAGGACTCCTGTGCAAGAGGCATCAGAGCCTCAGTCATGGGGTCAAACATGAGATATGAGAGTGCCTGCACCGGCTGCAGCCTCTGGAACCCCCTTTCCCCCACCACCTTTCCCCCCACATTTCCCCCACCACCTTTCCCCCCACATTTCCCCCACTCCTACTCCAACACCCGCTTACTACCAACCAGATCAGCCCCTTTCAAACCCCTACCGTCCACCCCGCTTCCCCCCCAAACCACGCACCAGCCAATAGGACTGGTTAAAAGCCTTGAGTGGCGCCTTCTGCAAACCAGACTCCTGTGCGAGGGGTGACGTCTGGGCCTCAGCCATGGGGCACGTGTCAACCATGAGATACGAGTGCGTCTGCACCATCTGCAGCCTCTGCATTCCCCTCCTTTCTCCCCCACTAGTCACCCACCCACCTGCCAACCCAGTCGTTTTCAAACCCCTCCCTTACAGACCACTCACCAGCCAGTAGGACTGGTTGAAAGCCTTCAGAGGGGCCTTTTGAAGCACGGACTCCTGAGCAAGGGGGGAAGTCTGGGCCTCAGCCATGGGGCGAGTGTCAAACATGAGGTACGACAGCGTCTGCACCGTCTGCAGGCGCTGCGGCGTTGCTGCTGCCAGCAGCCCTGCCGGCCCCACCTCCTTCAGCAGCGTTGCCAGCACTGATTCTCCATCGGATTCTCCCCTCCCCGCACCTGCCTTGCTGCTACTGCTCTCCTCCCCTCCCTTCTCACTCACACCAGCAGCAGCAGCAACAGCAGCAGGAGCAGCAGCAGTGGTGGCAGCAGCAGGGGCGTCATCAGGAGGGGCGTTTTCTGTGAAGGCCACCACAGCAGCCAGCACTGCAGCAGACACAGTTCCTCCTTCCACCCCATGCAGCACTGGTGACCCCCCTGCAGCCACCGCAGGAGAAGTGGCAGACGAACTACCAGCAGGCACTGCAGCAGAAGCCACAGCAGAAACAGGTGCAGTAGGTACAGCAGGGGTAGCAGCAGGAGTGGCGGAACTAGCAGCAAGCACTGCAGGTGCGGGGGCAATGAGGTTGCTTTTAGTTGGGGCAGCTGGCATGCCAGCAGCAGCACCAGCGACGGCGGCAGAACCTAAGGAGGCAGAAGGGCCGAGAGTGAGGGGGTCACTGAACGCAACTGTCTTCTTTTTCCTCGGCCTGGGACCAAGACCAGGCAGCCCCACTACTGCCTCTCCTCCTGATGCTGCTGTTGCTGTCCCTGTCCCTGTGCCTGTTGATGCTGCTGCTGCTGCGACCGTGTCTCGTGATGCTGCATTTGAGCCCGAAGCTGCTGGCCGCTTGGGTCCCAGACCAGAACCAAGGCCCAGCCCTGCAGGAGCAGGAGCAGCATGAGCAGGAGCAGAAGCAGGAGCAGCCACACTATTGACTGTTGCCAGGCCGTTACATTGCGCACTCTCTGACACGTGCCCGTTCATCATTGGCTCAACTTTCACTGCCTCGCCGCCCACCTTCCCGTCCTTCCCACCCTCCTCTGCCCCTGCTCTCGCCCCTGTCGACTCCTCCACTGGTTTAGAGAAGAAAGTAGTCCAATCAGCCTCCCCCCCAAACGATATCCCTGTTCCCAGCAGAGCTAGGGCGATTTCAAGCTGGTTACCCTTACACAGGGCCACCACCATCCGGGCAAACGAACGTTTTGTCTGCCGCTCCAAAACTTTCGACTGCCCAAAGTCCAGCAGCCCGAGCTTGGCGCCGGGCAGCAGCAAAAGGTTTCCTGGGTGCGGGTCGGCGTGGAAAACACCGTCCAGGAAGAACATGGCACCATAGGATTCGAGGAGGGAACGGATGGCTGAGATTGCTTCTAGGCGCATGGCGGCAAGACGAGGAGGGAGGAGGGAGGAATCTTTGTACGGGTGTAGGGAGTCGATTAACTTCGTGAATGGAGTACCATAGAGCCTCTGCAAGGATTACGAATGGGGGGAACGGTGAGGGGGGAAAGGAGAGAGAGAGTTACCGGTGGGGACAGAGCGAAGCGAGGAAGAAAGGAATAGAGATGGGGAAATGTGGGGTGTGCTTGTGTCGTAGGGGTGTGCTTGTGTCGTAGGGGTGTGCTGTAGAGCTCTGGAGGGGCAGAGATGGGAGGGGCAGAGATGGGAGGGGCAGAGATGGGAGGGGCAGAGATGGGAGGGACGGAGTGAAGTAAGGAGGAAAGGGAGAGAGCTTTAGGGAGGCACTGAGGGATGTAGCACCCAACTGCACCACCTGACAGCACCTGAATGATTGTGGTGGATGCAGGCGAGGAACACCTGAATAGTACCCCACACCCACCAGCACCGCACAGCACCCCTTGCTACCTCCATGACGATCATGCGCCGTGTGAAGAGACTGAGCACGGGCGTGGGGCAGACGACTTGGTGGAAGCCTTGAGACGCCTCTTTGCTCACTAAAACCCCCTGACAGCACCACACAACACCCCACAGCACCCAGTGGCACCCCACAGAATCCCTTGCGTACCTCCATGACGATCATGCGGCGAGTGCAGAGACTCAAGACGGGCGTGGGGCAGACGACTTGGTGGAAGCCCCGGCAGGCGAGGTTGTGGCGCACGGTGGTCATGAAGGCGGCCTCCCTCTGAAAGTTGAACTCGTTCGGAATGGTCTGCTGTATCTCCTTCACTATCTGTGAGCGGGGGGGAGGGGGAGGGGAGGGGGATGGGAAGGGGACGAGGAAGAGGGGACGAAGGGAAGGGGAGGAAGGGAGCGGGAAGAGGGGAGAAGGGCGAGAAGAAAGGGGAGTGGGAGAGGGAGCAGGAAGAAAGGGAATAGACAAGCCAACAGGCATGCTGATGAGTGCATGTGCGTTAGTGCAGCCGAGAGCTCACACTGCATATACCTACACCACACCACACCACACCACACCACACCACACCACACCGCATCGCACCGCACCAGCACTGTATCGCACCGCATCGCACCGCATCGCTACAGCACTGTAGAGCTCACATTGCGGAGGTCGAAGGGCAGCTGGGGCGAGAGGAATTCAGCCACACGGCCGATGTTTCTGAGGTCGGAGCGCATGATGATATCCATGCCCAGGTGCTGCACCTTCACCACCACCGCTCTGCCCCGCTGCCTCTCCCTCTCCAGCTCCCTCTCCCTCTCCCTCTCCCGCTCCCTCTGCTTCTCCTCCTCGTTACCTCCCTCTTCGCCGGCCCCCCCCTCTGCTGCTCCTGTGGCCCCTCCCTCCCGTCCCTCACACGCTGCCACGTGGCTGCCGCTCGCCACGTCAGCGCCAAGTTCATGGGCCTCGGAATGCGCGTCGAAGAAATCGTCTCTCTCGTCCCCACTCTCCCCGCTCTCCCCTCCCTCCCCATCGAAGAACTGCTCCTCCTCGCCCTCCTCCTCCCGCTCGCCCTCCTCTGTCCTGTCGTTGGCCAGCCGTGGAGGGATAGGCCGCTTCAGCATGGCTCCTGCTGCGCCTGTTTCCCCTGCTGCGGTAACACCAGAAGAAGGCGAAGGTAGGGCAGGGCCGGCAGGGGAGATGGGTTGGATGGTGCCATCGGCAGTCATGACTCCGATGGGCTTGCGATCCAGTGGGACCAGGCGGGATATCACCCCAGGCATGGTTCTCCTTGTGGCTGGACTACTGCTCGCAACTACTGCACTCATTGCACCTGCCGAACCTAATGCAGGGGAAGAAGTCACAGTAGCTGCCACTCTTGCTGTTTCTGCTGCCGCTGCTGGTGTTTCTGCCGCCGCTACAGCCGCTGGTGCTGCTACAACCTGTAGCGGACTAACAGCACCTGCTGCCACTCCTGCTGTCTCCGCTGTTACTGCATCTGCAATCTCTGCCGCTGCAACTGCTGTCTCTACAGCCGCTGCTTGGAAAGCAGACTGGAATAGCGGCTCCACCCACAGCCGATCCGTATTCGCCAGGAAACACGCCTCAGTGCACTCCGCGGCAATCCCAAGGGCGTCCCTCTCCTTGCTCGTGAGGTGCGGCAGGATAGGCAGCACCTTGGTGGGGTCAGTGGGGTGATTCTCAGGGAGTGGGTGCAGGAGCACAGCTGCATGCGCCTGGGCTATGGAGGCTGAGGCGAGAGACTCCTCGTCTATGCTCTCAAACATGTCTGCTACCAGCAGTGCACGGTGCTTGACCTGCGTTGACTTGCTTTGACTGGGTGGAATGTCGGCTGTAGCGGGCTTGATGGAAGCGGCTTCACCATTCGCAACGGCAGCATCAACGGCAGCGGAAGTATCACCATCGACAGAAGAAGGGGGGGCAGTAGGGGCAGCAACAGGAGGAGGAGGGAGAAGAGCGGGGGTGGTGGAGGGGCTGGGAGGAGGACAGATGGCGAGCTCGCATTGGATGGAGCGGATGACTTGCGAGTAGGGGCGCGGGGGCACGTTGTCAAATAGGGCTGAGAGGCGCCGCACCCACGCTGCTGGCATGAAGTCCTGTGAGAGGGGCGGGGAGAACCAGGGGAGGGGAAGGGGGCGGGGCATGGGGGCATGCCAGGTGTGTGAGTGTTTGTGGAGGAACATGCTGTCGAATTTGGCTGAGAGGCGCTGCACCAAAGCTGCTGGCATGAAAACCTGTGAGAGGTGGGGGCGGGAGGCGAGGAGTGAGAGGATGGGCTCTAATGCGAATGTGCACATCCGAATGCGGGATGTGCATATCCGGAGTTGAAAGCAAGAATGAGAGCGTACCGATTTAGAGGCAAGGATCTGTGCAGACTTGACGTAGAGACCGCTGAGACGCAGCACCAGGTCGTGCACTAGCCTGGGGGGGAAGAAGAGAGGGAAGAGCGGACACCAATGGAAGAAGAGAGGGAAGAGCGGACATCAATGGAAGAGGGATGAGGCTGCTGGTGAGGATGGTGGTGGGGCTGGTGGTGAGGGTGGTTGTGAGAGGACAAAGGGAGCACCACATCAGAACAACACGATGCACCCTATTCCTAGTCTCCTCACTCTTGCTCGGCTATTTCGAATCTTTTGTCGACCAGGCATGCTGCCTGGCGCATGCTGCCTGACGCATGCTGCCTGACGCATGCTGCCTGGCGCATGCTGCCTGACGCATGCTGCCTGACGCATGCTGCCTGACGCATGCTGCCTGACGCATGCTGCCTCATGCATGGTGGCGTTTGTTGCCCCATTCCCTCTCACCTGCCGCCCTATTCACTCACCTGCCGCTCACTTCCCACTCACTTATTCATTCACGCTCAATTGCCGCCCCATACCCACTCACTTCCCGCCCCAACCCCGCTCACTTGCCGCCCATTCCAGCTCACAGCCGCCCGGCTTTCACTCACTTGCCGCCCCATTCGTGGCGCACAGCCCACTTCTCGTGGCGAACCTCAATGGGCTTCTTGCGCACGGCCAGCTTGGTCTTCATGTACCTGGGGGGAGGAGGAGAAGGGTTAAGGGGGGAGGGTGCTCTTAAAAGGGGGGAAGGAGGGGAAGGAGCCTCAAAAGAACCTTAATGGGATTCTTGCGCACCGCCAGCTTTGTCTGGGGGGGGTGGGGGAGAGAGAAGGGGGGGGAAGTTGGAGAAGGGAAGAGGTTGGAGGTGAGGGAAAGGGGGAAGGGGGGAAGGGGAGGGAGGGGAGGGGGTTGAGAGGAGGGAAAGGGTGAAGGACGAGGGAGTAGAAGGAGAGGGCGGGCGAAAAAAAAAAGGGGGTGGGGAAACGAGGGTGCGGGTTTGGGGGGATGGGGTTTGGGGGGATGGGGTTTGGGGTACAGAAGTGCCATGCACACAGATGCTTCCACTTGCTTCCCTGCGTAGAAAAACAATGAATGCGGAGAGGCGCATGCCTCCCTCACAGAACGCACAGATTGGCAAGAGCTATTAGGGAACCCCAGCAAGCGCATTCCACGTGAATGCGGAAAGGCTCTTCAGGCGGCTCAAAACACGCATCCAAAGAGAACGGCCATGGGCGATCAACGTGCCTCAAAGAACGCACGTACGAGCAATGAAGGCGGCCCAAAAAACTCACCCCAGGTAGACGGGCATGAGGCGGTCCCAGAACCGAAAAAAACCTTGAGAAATCTCAAGAGTGATTCCCAAAGAGAATTCAACGTTCCTCTCACGACGTACCCCATGTAGATGGGCATGAGGCGGTCCCAGAAGCGGAGAGTGCGCCAGACATCGGGGAAGGCGAGGGGGATGAGCGAGCTGAGGGCCACCTGCAGCAGCACCGGCACGCAGAAGGGCCGCAGCCGCGCCACGGAACTGGCAGCTCCCGCCGGCATCGGCTGCAGAGGGTAAGTGGTTGGGCGTGGTTGGGTATTGTTGAGCATGGTTGGGCAGTCAGGGTTGTAATCGGCTGGGAGAGAGCATGGAGTAGATTGTGTGTCTTTCATCGTCATATGGGTCACTTATCTTCGTGTGCCTCACTCATTGTCGTGTTTTTCGTTCAATGCAACGTGTGCCGTTCACTGCCACGTGTATCTCTCACTGCCACGTGTATCTCTCACTACCACGTGTATCAGTCACTGACATTTGCGTCTCTCACTGCCATACGCGTCTCTACTCACATGCGCGTCTCTATCTTCTCCGTTGCTCCTCTGAACCGACTGCGAAGGCCAGAATCACACGTGTCTTGACAGACTGCTAACGATATGACACGAGTAGGACCAGGAAGCTGAAGGTGCAGCTGCAGCGGCAGCTGCGGTAGGAATATGAATAGAAACAGCAATGCTAATAGAAACGCGTACCAGGCGGAGAGGCAGCTTGGACCAGACATTGCTGCTGGCGATCGCGGCGACTCGGAAGAACGGCCATACGACCCGTCCTAGCGTGTGGACCGCGAGAACGGCCACGAACCGACCCGCGAAGGAGGCTCCGGAACGCAAGAACCCCCCCAAGCCCATCTGAGCTGCAGCCTCTTAATCCACGGAGACAGCTAGAATCAGCCTTCCATGATGTAAAAACTAAGGAAGTCAATAGTAGAGTTTGAACTGCTGAAATGACTGCCGTCGAGCTAAGGAAGCTGATAAGAGTCTAGATGCTAGGAATGATCGGTCACGCAAGGATCGGTCGAGCATCGATCAAGTGCATCTGTCTGCTTACTTGTGGACCGAAGAGCACAGAAGACTCTGGTGCCTGGAGCTGACGACGCGGTTTGAGCTCTGCCGTGCGGGCGGACCAGGCTTAAAAGTGGATTAAAAGCCCACTAAACGTCTTGTCAATGACCAATCTGGCCAGCCAAACTAGTGCTGGGACAGCGAAACGATTCCTGATTCTGTCACGTCAATCAGGGACTGCAACTGCGTTTCCTGAACACTGAACGTACTGCGCCAAATGGAGGTTGCTTCTCTTCGTGTGAACTCTTCGACTGTACTAGAGCCGAAGATGACTTCGAAATCTCTCTGTGTTCTGCACAACAGCAGCGAACCGAAAGCTAGTCCAGTTGGGAAATTGGATGAAACCGAGGGAAGGCTCGGGCAGGAGGCCCACCTTCCCAGATTCCTGACAAGGGAGCCCTAGCCGAACCACACAACAAAACGCACTGATTCGGTTCATCCGATCTGGGCTACGAGATTTGCCGCGCCTAAAGAGCTCAACGCCGAACTTCGGTCATGCGCCGAGCCTGGTTTCGCGCCACCGTTCAGGGGGGCCGAGGCTCAGGTTTGAGCAGGGCTGGTTCGGAACAAGGCTGACCAAGGAGAACACGACCTCTGTGCGTCACGTCTGCGATTGTAGATCAAAATGCTAACTTTGTACTACACAACAAATACATCACAGGCAAGCCCAAAATGCCAGCATTCCACTGGAAAATATCCTCTTACCAATGCCTGTCCCTTGATGTGCTTAAAGCGACGGGCAACTTTTGGCAGTGTTGGGTTCAGAAGTTTTTTTTTTTTAACCAGGCTTGCCAGCGCGAAAGTGCTGGCTGGCGAAAACCAGGATTTCGTGCGGACACTTTCCATCCGCAGTAACAGTTCGCCAGGGTTCTGGGTTTTGGGTGGCACATGTGCACCGTCGCTTTAAAAAACCAGCAAGCATCTTTCCTCCTGTACACCGCAAGCCATCAATTAGCATGGACCACGTCGAACCAAGAGCACCTATAAAATAATCAGCCTCCGCTGCCATGAGCAAATTAACCCAGGCATTTTCAACACTGCGCTGGGCCCCGATCCGGGCTTCATAGGCTGGCATGCTCTCCTCTCCTTGCATCCGAGGTATGTCAGTGACCTTCCAGTCCCATCCAGGAGTGCGGATGGCCCTTTCAACAACCTGCCAGCAGCCGCCAACAACGAACCAGCAATACCCAGCAAATTCCCACAAAGCAAAAGCTGAAGGGAAGCATTTTCAAAGGAAGCACTGCAGTGCACAGCAGTGGAAGGAGGGGGCATACGATAGGAGCTGAAGGAAGCAGATGGAGCAGAATGGGATGTCATGTAATGTTCCAGTTGCCTTACCGGCTGCATTTCTGTGCTGAGCCAGACGGTTGTAGCGGAGGGGTCGAACTGACGCACTCTTGACAGCAGGTGCAGGTACGTGCCAAAGCCCGCCACCCGCATCTCCTTCGCCTTGTCCCCCATGCGCACGTGCATGCTCACAATCGGCCGTGGCACCCACGGCACTGAAATTGTATCCAAGAGAACGCCCTGAGAATAATTGCTTTCAGAAGTACCGCTCTGCACTCCTTTATTACTCTTGGGATGACTGCTTTGAAAAAGGCTGCTCTGAGAACTATCCAGAAGCGGATAGCCAGCAGAAAGCTGGTTGGTCCCAGAGAGGAGAGTGCTCGCAGCAAAGCCCAGCTTCTCAGCCTGAAGTATTGCGGCTTCTGTGTGTGCCACGTGGCGAGCCGCCATTGGCCCGAAGGCTGCGTGCCTGGCCCGGTTGATGACGGCACAGAGGTAGCGCGAGGGCGAGCGCATGAGGAAGCGCCACGCCTGCGCCCTCCACCAGCAGTCCTTGTTGCTGCAGAGAGGGATGGGCAGAGGGATACAGGTAGCACTGGCATGAATGATCGCAGAGGTGGCGTGAGGGCGAGGGCATGAGGAAGAGCACCCGTGCCCTCCACCAGCGGTCCTTGTTGCTGCAGGGAGGGATGGCAAAAGCAACGCATGGGCAGACAGTGGGGGTAGCACTGGCATGAACGATCCTGTGCAGTGGTAGCACGAGGGCGAGGCAGCAATGAGCGTCACGCCTGCTCCCTCCACCAGCGGTCCTTGTTGCTGTAGCGAGGAATGGGCAGAGGGATACAGGTAGCACTGGCATGAATGATCATGTGCAGAGGTGGCGTGAGGGCGAGGGCATGAGGAAGAGCACCCGTGCCCTCCACCAGCGGTCCTCGTTGCTGCAGGGAGGAATGGGAAGAGCAACGCATGGGCAGACGTTGGGGGGCTGGCACTGGCATGAATGCTCCCGTGCAGTGGTAGCACGAGGGCGAGGCAGCAACGAGCGCCATGCCTGCGCTCTCCACCAGCGGTTTTTTTGCTGCAGGGAGGGATGGGCAGAGCAATGGGAAGAGCAATGGGTAGAGCAACTGTGAGAGACGTGTGCACTGAGGCACGTGCACTGAGGCACGTGCAGTCAGGCATGCGCAGTCAGGCATGCAATCAACAAGCCCAAGACGTGGAGTGAGAGGGCGTGTGTACAATGAGTGACTCACCCGGTCTTGGTGGTCTGCTGCATGTGTCCGTTGATGTCAATGACAGCCGGGATGCGCAGCCACGGCTCACCCCACAGGGCGGGCACGGGGGGAAACCACACGAGCTCCCCGGGAATATCCTGCTGCCGCACCACAGGCAGGCTTGAGTGCACGTCTGATTTTGCTGGGAGATTCGATTTTGCCCGAAGATTTGATTCTGGCTCTGCTGTGGCAGGATTCTGCGATTGCTGCTTGGCCATTAGGTCATGGGCTCGTCTGGGGGATGGGAAGAGGGGAGGGAAGGGAAAAGGTACGAAGGTGACTTTTGAGTCGACTCAAGAGTCACTTCTGCGCTTGCCTGCTGCTCGGCCATTAGGTCATGGGCTAACCTGTGCGGTGGCGGGAGGGAAGCGAAGGGATCAGTAAGCAGCACGGATTCAAGGGAAGGTGCATACTTTGTAGAAATCTAAAAGATCGCCTGCAGATTTAGAAACAGATCGCCTGCAGATTTAGAAACAGATCGCCTATGGAATAACGGGTGAGAGGGGAGCGAAGAGGTGAAGCATGGATTCTGCACGCATCGCTCGTTCTGCACCTTCTGCACGCATCGCTCGTTCTGCACCTTCTGCACGCATCGCTCGTTCTGCACCTTCTGCACGCATCGCTCGTTCTGCACCTTCTGCACGCATCGCTCGTTCTGCACCTTCTGCACGCATCGCTCGTTCTGCACCTTCTGCACGCATCGCTCGTTCTGCACCTTCTGCACGCATCGCTCGTTCTGCACCTTCTGCACGCATCGCTCGTTCTGCACCTTCTGCACGCATCGCTCGTTCTGCACCTTCTGCACGCATCGCTCGTTCTGCACCTTCTGCACGGAGCGAAGAGGTGAAGCATGGATTCTGCACGTCTCAAAATACATTTTTTTTTCACGTGAAGCATGGATTCTGCACGTCTCAAAATACAATTTTTTTCACGTGAAGCATGGATTCTGCATTTTTCAGGGCAAACGCGCACCTTCTGCACGCATCGCTCGTTTCCGGTGCAAAGAAGCAGTGCCAGCGGCTGTGCTTGCGCCCCTCACACCCTCCGTGCATCGCCCTCGGGAACTTTGCCAACACCAGCACCCGCCCTGACGCCACTGCCAGCGCCAGCGCCCCTGCCACGTTGGTGAGCTGCGCGCCAATGCCATACTTGGACTGAGGGACAAATGTGGCGTAGAGGAACCTACGAGGGAACAGGGGAGAGAATAAATGGAATGGGAGAGGGTTGAGAGCTGGGTTGCTCTTCTCTGAGGCGCCCCTGCCATGTTGGTGAGCTGCGCGCCAATGCCGTACTTGGAGTGAAGGGATGAAAGTGGCTTAGGAGGAACCTGCGAGGAAAGGAGGCGTGAGGGAGGGAATTGGGGGGACGGAAGGGAGTGGGGGTTTGACAAACCGAAAGTTGATGCGTTGCGCGCCAATGCCCTCGCTTGTAGTGAATGGGCTAGCGTGGTGTAGAGAAACCTGCGAGGAAAGGAGGCGTGAGGGATGGAAGGGGGGAGGAGGCATCACAGGCAGCACCATATACCAGCACAGACACCACCACAGGTCCCTTACAGGCACCGTTACAGGCACTGTTACAGGCACCGTTACAGGCACCGTTACAGGCGCCGTTACAGGCACCGTTACAGCACCACTACAGGCAGCCATATGTCCCTCTGCACGCACCCTTACAAGCACCCCCATATGCCGCACCCTTACAAGCACCCCCATAGCCCGCACCCTTACAAGCATCCCCATAGGCCGCACCCTTACAAGCACCCCCATAGGCACCATTACAAGCACCTACTTGACTGAAGGGAGGGAGCAGTTTTCAGGGTGCTGGTGCAGCCAAATGTCTCTCTGAACGCGCCGAGTCAACGGGTAGTTCTCCTCGTCCGCCCCCACCACCCACGGCGGGTATGGTCCCTCCACCACCCCTCCCCTCCCCCCATCCTCTTCCCCCTCCTCCTCAATCTCCCCACCATGCCTCCCAACCCTCCTCTCCTTCTCCTTGCCCATCCCTCCCCTCGCTGCTATCCCCAATTTCCTCCCCCTTCCTTCGCCCCTTCTCTGCTCCTCTTCAACCTCCTTCCCTTCAGCAGGCCCCGCCTGACTCGCACCCTCTCGCTTCTTCCCCTGGGAAAACTCCTGGAAGGACCCACCGCGTTTCCCCTCGCGAACCAGAGCCCACGGGACCTCTTCCACCCCATGCCGTCCACGCGCGAACCTCTCATATTGGGTCACCGCTTTGATCATCGCCTCGCAGTTCATCAGGTGCGGGGGAACTGGCGGAGCGACAGGCGGAAGGACAGGAGGGACAGGGGGGATAGGAGGGACAGGTGGAAGGACGGACCCCTCCCCTCTCTCACCAAGCGGAGGGACAGGCTCTCCGCTTGGAACCTCCTCCTCCTCCTCCACCACCTCCTCCTCCTGTTGCTGCTGCTGCTGCAACGGTGGTGCTTCCTGAGGATGGTGTGATGAACCGTCAGAAGGAGCCAGTGCTGCTGCTGCATTCATTGGTACCATGTCAGGACTCCCCTCGTCGCTAATAACAGTGTAGCTGCTTTCTGTCAGTGTTCCGTTAACGTCAGGATCACTCGCAGGAATGCTGGAGCTTCGTTGAGAGCTAGTAGTACTGGTCTGGTTGCTGCTGGCGTCACGGGTTGCGTACGGTGAACCTGGACAAAGCAGCTCTGTCCAGAGCTGCATAAGTTCCTGTTCCCGTTGTAAAATTCCGGCTTCAAACGGGTCCGTTTCTAACGAATCACTGAAAGAGAACGGCCTCTGGACAAGATTGCTACTTGGTTCGCGGAACGAGCGGGTGTTCGCCTGAGCCGAGCCACGAGATTCTTGAGGGGAGCTTGAGGAACCAGACGGTTGCTCACGAGGGAATTCATCAGAAACTGTGAAATTTATAGATGTTGGGGAGCCTGAGCCGAGGAAAACTGCCTCGGGAGAATTGACATTGTAACTGTCATGAGAAGAACGAGCAAAAAAGGGTTAGAGACATTAGCAATGCTGCTCCCCTGGCTTATGAGTTTCGACAAGCTCGCAGTGCAACCGAAACCCTCTGTAACAGCGCTAGAACCACCGCTATTCGGCCTCTGTTTCTCGGTCAGCAGGTGAAGTATCGCTTCATCGTTGATCTCCTTTGACCCTTGTTCGGGACTGATGAACGAATCATCCTCCTCCTTTTGAGTCGTCTCTTCTTCCTCTACCTGAATGTCTGGCTGCCCGTTCCCCTCCTCGCGGCAATCATGGTGATGATATTCCGGAGGGCAGCTACTGGGTCCTCCTCGCCTGGCGAGCTCCATGAGGCGCGACGCGAGGGATCAGCTGCGGGAGCTACGAGTCGAGACCTCCTGCTGCTCGCATAAGAAAAAAGACAATAATCTTTCTCCAGGACCACCATAATGATGCTTCTATCCACAAAAAAGCGGATTTTTGTGCGGAGGCGGCCGAGACCAAGGGGAAGTGGAGGCGTGCGTTAGTGACACGAACGCAATGATGAGTACAGATCTGTACTGTACAGTCGCTACACTCACTCCCACTTGTAGTAAACATTTATGCAGTTCTCATCTTATGAGCTGTTGGTGGCACTCCCTCCTTTGAAGCTTATGAGGGAAGGTGTAAATTGGTGTGAATAATACCAGAGTTTTTATCTCGTATGCGGATGAATTAATGATTTTGCACGCTTACGGCATCACCCTAATCTACATGGATACATACACCATGCACCCATGTGCATTTAATTTTAAGGTTGATGTAAATTTTTATTTGTGGCCTTATCTGGATATTTTATCCCTATCCAATCCGTGTTGCAGCTGTTTTCATATTTTTGTGACCACTTAGACTAATGGATGCAGATATGAAACGCTTTCTAGTATACGTATTCACAAACTACATTGCAACGCTCTGTTTTCACTCCAATTTTCACCTGTGTTGATTTCTCGATTAGGTCACACGACAGTCGTGGACCAAGAGCTTACCACTCGCCAGCCTCCATCATCCACTCATCCGCTTTACAGCGCATCTGGCACAGCCTTCGAAGGCCACGTCTGCACACTCACCAAAATTTATGCGTGGTATACCACCAGTCCATCAACACATCATCTGCAATCAGCTTTCCCCCCTTGCTCATCCGCCCAGCAGGCAACGAGGCAGCCCGCACTCCGCCCTTGACGCTCAGACATCCATATGCCACGTCATCCACCTCAACTTCCGCCTTAGCACTGTTCCGTGTGCTGCCTGCGAGTCCCCCTCCCCTGCACCCACTACACCCTGCAGCCATTTTCCGTTTCTCCGTTCCCTCGCTAGCATCTGTTGCTCGCCATTCCCTTCGCTTCCAATTCCCTTACGAGGTCGCCGTCCGTAGTCTCCCCGTAGCCTACTCTCAGACTCGAAAATGGCGGCCCTCGCTACCAAGCTTGCGCTCACAAGCTCCCCATGCCTCTCATCCGTGTCCCTCCGACGGGGATCCGCCCTCCCCGTCGTGTCGGTCGCGCCTGTCAGGAAGACCCGCGCTGCTGCTGGTCGCGTCGTGGCCTCCGCCGCGACCACCGATATTGAGGAGCTTGTTTCGCAGATTAAGAACCTCACGCTTATCCAGGCCAGGACTCTCACTGACAGGCTGCAGGAGGAGCTCGGCGTGTCTGCCGCTGCCATGATGCCGGTCGCCGGCATTGCCGCTCCCGCCGCCGGCGAGGCCGCTGCCGTGGTTGAGGAGCAGACCGAGTTCGACCTGCTTCTGGAGGAGGTCCCCGCGTCGTCGCGCATCGCCGTGATCAAGGTCGTGCGAGCGATCACCGGCCTTGGCTTGAAGGAGGCCAAGGACATGATTGAGGGTCTTCCTAAGAAGGTTAAGGAGGCTGTTGCTAAGGAGGATGCGGAGGATGCCAAGAAGCAACTGGAGGGTGCCGGTGCCAAGTGCAGCATCAAGTAAAGCAAGTGATGTTCCTTCGTCTTTGCCAAGTAGGAGGAGGGCTCCCTCGTGTGGATAATGCGCGTTGGTTAGCTGTACGGTCTTTGTTACGGCAGTGAAGCATTTTCGCAGCCAGATGGAGATCGCGAGGTTAGTCGCGCGCTGGTCCGTACATTGATCCTTTGTCTTTCTGTTTACTATAATCACGTTCACTCAATGCTCTTTGCATCCACGCAATCCCCCCTCCCTCAAGAACATGGATTGACAATGACTGTAATGGGGAACTGTGCAAGGTAACAGGTCCGCTGCAGGTGTCTGTGCGAGGGAAGAGAGATGTGAGGTTGAAGAGTTCCGATTATGGGCAGTCGGAGTCTCAGTGGCATGGTCGGATTCAGTCCAAAGTAGAGGGTTTTCGTTGGTAGATGCCGGCGAATGCAGCGGGGAGTGTTCTGAGAGGGTTCAGTTCTGGTCCGTTGTGTAGTCATGACACCTGTCTTCGCCCCATCCCCATCCATTGTAACGTCAAGTCTCACATTTTCATCCCGTCTGACCAACTCGTATCGGTCGTTTCTGTTGTCGGGTGACCTAGGAGGTGTCTTCAGTGGGAGTATGTGCCCTTTTAATTAGGTCTCACTTTCATCCCGTCTGTCCAACTCGTATCGGCCGTGTCTGTTGTCTGGTGACCTAGGAGGTGTCTGTCGTAGCCGAGTATTTGCCCTTTTAATAAGGTCTCACATTCATCCCGTCTGTCCAACTCGTATAGCCCATGGTCAGGTGTCCGAGAGGTCTCTTAGGCGTCAGCGTGGTCGTGTAAGTGTTCCATTTTTCTAGGTCTCACTTTTTCATTCCATCTTTCAGTCAGTCCGTTGTCAGGTCTTCGAGAAAGACGTTAGCGTAGTCGCATGTAGCTCCGCACATTCTTAGTCATGTTTTCGTTCTTGCCAATGTTGTCAAGTTGTGGTCAGGGCGTGGGCCACTCTTGTTTCCTCCCAAGAGGTCTGGGTGTAATTGAGTTGGGATGGTCAGTTGCCCATGGAACAGTGTCTATGAAGAATAGTTAGGGTCAAGGTGTGGTGGTTTGAACTGAACAAAACCATGAAAACTGAGCTAGAGCGTAGAGGCAAGAGTACACTCCTACTAATTTCTGTACCCGCCTCAATGCAGTGATGTACCTTTGTTTGGTGCTAATACAGAATCTAACCGTAGTTGATTCTACTGTACAGCTAATGGTTAGGTCAGCAACTTGGCATGTTTGTCCCTCATTCGTTCTGTGTGATTACTCCTGTGCGTGTACTCTTGTACGCCACGACGGATGAAATGTAAACTGACGCGACCTCGCCCTAAGTGCTTGTCATCAATGTTTATCTACAAGAGATGTACTAACTGGACGCCCCAATTGGGCTATGCATTTGAAAAGGGGGGTCTACTAAGGAATGACTGCATATGGGTGACATAATTTTTCCCTCAAGATGAATAATTTGTATGTTGTCATTCTCCGAGCTGGGGGAAGTAACAGTTGCAGTGACTGGGCATTTCGGGTAGAGAGAGCCACGTCTCGCTGTCCAATGAGGTTCAAAATTTTACCAATCAACCAATCATTGAGCTCCACTATGAAGCTGGTGCTGTTCTTTATGTGTGAGTTACAGAATGCTTCGATAGAACCGTCGATTCTTCAGGAAGATGCTTTCAATCGATCTTGATCGAAGGGCGGAGGCCCATTAATCGGTCCTAGCTTCTGGAAGAATCCGTTCGGCTGGCAGGCTACATAATCACATCTCGCGCGGGATTTTTCAGAATTCGACACCTGCTGAGTACTGTACTGCACAGCTGAATCCTGATCATCCCGAGGCTCCTCTGGCAGGAAAACCAAGCTCCATTCCACAGCACCGAGCAGATCAGTGGTGAACCTTGAGGCTTTTGAGTTACAGCAGCCAGCCAGGCATAGCGCAAGACCACGGATTGTTGAAGAGTAGGGAGTCTGAAAGTAGTCAGATAGACTTCGCTTTTCCTTGACTACTGGTCTCTCGATCTGGAGCAGGGATCGTAGATCATGGCACGATCGATGGTTCTTGCTCTGCTGGCGCTCGTCCTCATCACCTCCCAGTCATGCCTTGCCGTAAGTTGAAAATACTCCTCGGCTGTCTGGTGTGTTGGCGGGTAGATCTTGCGGACAAATTGTCGTTACCGCATTTACGACCATTCGTTTCTGGATGCCAGACGTCCGTACTCCTCACTCCCATCTCGATCCATGCAGGTGGAATTCTTTGAGACGTTTGACGAGGATTACGCTGGTCGCTGGATCGTCTCTAGCAGCGCAGACTACACGGGTAAGTCTTAGATTTTCCGCCTCGATTTGCTGCAGTTTATGTGACTAAATTTCCAAAGCACCCATGAACCGTATTTGCACATTCAATGTTTATCCAGAACAACCTGAGAATTCATTTTTCCATTATTTTCTTGCTCAGGCAAATGGAAATGGGCTGCCGGCGAAGCTTCGGGCGATTACGGGCTGCTGGTAACCGAGAAGGCGAAGAAGTACGGCATCGCAGCGGAGCTCCCTGAGCCCGTGGACCCGAAGAAGGACACCCTGGTGCTGCAGTACGACGTGCGCCTGCAGAACAACCTCGAGTGCGGCGGAGCGTATCTCAAGTTCCTCATGCCGCAGGTACTGCAATTGAAACTGAATCTGTAGGCCTAATTGGAGAAATTTTCTGAAAGTGCTTCGTTCTTGCCTTTCGACCTGATTCGACACCTCTCTTCGCTATTTCTGTACAGTCTCTTCTGACCCTGCCTACTTGCTCCTCCTTGCTTGTGTCTTCCCAATCTGTCCTCCCCCTGGGACCAATCAGACCGCGGGCTGGACTCCGAGCCAATTCAAGGACGACTCGCCTTACTCAATCATGTTCGGACCCGATAAGTGCGGCTCGACGAATAAAGTGCACTTTATTTTCCGCCACAAGTCGCCCAAGACGGGCGAGTACATGGAGCACCACATGAAGAAGCCCGCGTCGCCCTACACATTCGACAAGCTCTCGCACGTGTACACGGCGATCGTGTATCCCAACAACACGGTGGAGATTCTCATCGATGGCGAGAAGAAGGCGGAGGGCGATTTGCTCTCCGGGAAGGATTTCCAGCCGCCCGTGCTGCTGCCGAAGACGATCCCGGACCCCGAGGATAAGAAGCCCGAGGACTGGTGAGTTGAGGTCTACGACTGGTGAGTGAAGGGCGATGGCTGGCGATTTGAGAGCGATGACAGGTGAGTCTTATGCTTGCTTCCAGCAAATTGAGTTCACGGCTGTTTGTTTCACCATGAATTCTTTGAATCTCGGTTGTCTGTGTCGACCAAGCGTTCTGTTCCGCTTGGTCACTCTTCGCACGCGTGCATAATGTCTGCGAATTCGTACGGTTACCACATGAAGAAGCGAATTTCCACTTGCAGCGACTGAACGGCACGCGCGCGCGCAATTCCTGCGACGCATGCGCAATGTCTGTGGAATCGTACGCGAATTCCACATAACGAATCGAATTCGAACGATGCGCGCGCGCATTGTCTGTGGAATCGTACGCGAATTCCACATAACTAATCGCAACCACTGAACGATGCGCGCGCGCCATTCCTGCGACGTGTGGTGGTGTGCGTGCAGGGACGAGCGCGCCAAGATCAAGGACCCCGAGGCGACCAAGCCGGAGGACTGGGACGAGGACGCTCCCCGCGAGATCCCCGACGAGGATGCCGCTAAGCCCGAGGGGTGGCTGGATGACGAACCCGAGGAGGTGCGTGGGGATGATGATTGGGGTCCGGGTAGGCGTGTGGCGGAATGCTGTGTCATAAGATCTGTGTGGCAAGCGTCAGGGGTGGCTAGACGACGAGGACATGAGTGGGGAATGATTGGGTTTCCTCTGATGGGTTTGTGGCGGAATGCTGGTTTGTAGGAGCTGCTTGGCAAGCCCTAGGATGGGCTGGACGTTAAGTTCGAGGATTTGAGTAGGGGGATGTGTCAATCAAGGCAATGGTTGTTCAGTCGGAACTAGTTTAACGGGCTTTTTATCCAAGGGGTGGCTGATCGATTGTCAAGAGAGCACATCGAAGCCACTCGCGCCTGGGAGGTGGCTGAATGGCTTTGTCCCCGGAGGTGACGCTGCCCAATTCTATCGTTCTCCCCCCACCACTTCCTTTGGAATCCTCCTTTCCGCCTGAATTCCAGGATCAGATGCCAATGCCCAATCCTATCGCCCCCCCCCACCACTACCCATAAGAAGGATGAACAGGTTACGACGCCCGATACCATCGCCTCCCCCAACCACCTCTTGTACCTCCTTCCTTCCTCGATTCAACAGGTGGACGATCCCGAGGCCAAGAAGCCCGAGGACTGGGACGAGGAGGAGGACGGCGAGTGGGAGCCGCCCAAAACCCCGAACCCCAAGTGCGAGGAGGCGCCCGGGTGCGGCGAGTGGAAGCGGCCAATGAAGCGCAACCCCGCGTACAAGGGCAAGTGGACGGCTCCGCTGATTGACAACCCCGTGTACAAGGGCGTGTGGAAGGCTCGGGATATCCCCAACCCGGACTACTTCCACCTGGATCGGCCGGACCTGGAGAGCGTCGCTGCTGTGGGAATTGAGATCTGGACCATGTCGGTGAGTGCCTGGGCGCGGGGATGTGCTGGGGGGGGATGGAGATAGGTGTGTGAGAGGGGCTAACGGTTTGGGGTTTCTGGGTAGGACGAGAGGTGGTTGGTGGATGAGCAGCTGGGATCGGGACATGAGAAACAGGGCGTAGTGTAGAAAGGGCAATGCACACAAGTGCATTGGCTGCAAGCGAAAGGACATGAAAGAACGAGGTCATGTCATTGCACAAGACGAGAGTGTTGCTGGGAAGGGTGCAAACATAGCAGTTGTGTATCTGGAGAATCCTCCCCCCACCTCCTTTCCTCCCCTGTCCATGAGGTGACTTTTGAGTCGGCTCAAAAGGGTGCAAACATAGCAGTTTTCCATCTGGAGAATGCTTCCCCCATCTCCTTTCCTCCTCTGTCCATCACGGGGAGATTGCTTCCTAGTTTGACAAGAGACGCGTTTGCACTTGGGTCCAACTCATCCCCCAACCCGCCCATCCAACCATCCACATCCACCTATCCACCCACCCACACACCCACCCATCCACTGAGGACGGTCGAGGGGCTGCAGCGCACGGTGGAGGAGCGGGACAGGATGGCCGAGGGCTCGAAGGGCTGCAGCACACGGTGAAGGAGCAGTAGCAGTTCCAGCCCCTCGATCCCCTCGAACGTCATGTCCCGCTCCTTCACCGTGCTCTACAGCCCCTCGACCGTTCTCTCCCGCCATCCACTCACCCTCCCGCCCATCCACCCATCCACCCATCCACCTAACCCCACCCATTCACCCACCCATCCATATCCACCCATTTAACCATCCCCACCCATCTGCCCACCCACCTGCCCATCCACCCATCCACGTTCACGCAACCCCACCCATGCCAACCCATTCCTCGCCCCTTCCAACCCCACCAGGACGGCATTCTCTTTGACAACATCCTCGTTACAAGCGACCCTGCTGTAGCGGAGAAGTACCGGAGGGAGCGATGGGCGACCAAGTTCGCCAAGGAGAAGGAGGCGGAGCAGAAGAAGCGCGAGGAGGAGGACGCTAAGCTCAAGGAGTCTGCCGGGAAGGGCGGATGGGAGGTGAGTGCGTGGTTTTAGGCCAGCTGAGAGGGGCAGGTGGGAGGTGAGTGCGTGGTTTTAGGCCAGCTGAGACGGACAGGTGGGAGGTGAGTGGGGGGTGTGATGTTGGCTGGGGGGTAGATGTCCTATGGGTAAACGGTATGGGGGAAGGGGAGGCGGGAGGAGGATGCAGAGCTTGAGAAAGAGACCCTAAGAACGGCGGGTGAGAGGTGAGTGAGGTTGCCTGGCGGGTAGATGTGCTATGGGGGGATGGGATGTGAGCGGCGGGTGTGAGACCAACCAGGGCCTAGTGGTCAATGTCAGAGCAAGCTGTTCGCGTTTTTCCACGAAAATGTGCTTCAAACCCCCCTCATCCCCGCTGCATTCCTTGGAGTGAACCAACATCTTGACCTCCACGGCAACCCTTTCATCCCCACTAAACCCCCCCCCCCCCCCACCCCCCCCCTGTGTCTTCCCCACAACAGGGCAAGCTGTTTGAGACGCTCCACAAGATAGCAGATGCGCCTCCTCTCAAGCCCGTTCGCCCCCAGCTCAAGGTGCGCTGCTTGCCCGCCCTGCTCCATCACCACCTCTTTCAATCCCTCTCCACCCTTCTCTCTCTCTCTCTCTCTCTCTCTCTCTCTCTCTCTCTCTCTCTCTCTCTCTCTCTCTCTCTCACTCTCTCTCTCTCCCTCTCTCTCTCTCTCTTTCCCTCTCCCGTCGTTCACTCTCCCTCTCTCTCACTCACCCTTCACCCTCCCGCTTTCCCATCCTTCACCCTCCTTCTCTCCCCCGCATCGCCCTCCCTCTCTCCCGCCCCTTCACCGTCAATCTCCCCCACTTCTTCACCCTCCCTCTCGCTCATCCCGTCACCCCCCCCTTCTCTCCTCTCACTGTCATTGTTGTTTCCTGTTCCCACGTGCCATCATCCTGAGTGCCTGCACGCCGCCGTGGTCATTCTCATCCTCATCCTCATCTTCATCCTCATCCTCATCCTCATCCTCATCCTCACCCTCAACCTCATCCTCATCCTCAACCTCACCCTCACTAGAACGCACTCAACTGACTCAAAAGTCAGTTCGTCACCTTCCCTCCCACATGCCATCATCCTGAGTGCCTGCACGCTGTCATGGTCATGCTCATCCCTCACTAAAACGCACCTCTCTCTTTCTCTTCCAACTTTCCTTCCTCTTGTCTCCTTGCTCCCCCAGGCCATCCTAGCAGAGGCAGCCAAGTACCCATACGCAGCAGTGGGCACCATCATCCTCATCCCCCTCGTGCCCTTCCTTCCCCTGGTGTCTGTCTGTGCTGCTCTCCCCCCTCTTTCCTCCTCACCCCCCCAGGCCATCCTAGCAGAAGCGGCCAAGTACCCATACGCAGCAGTGGGCATCGTCGCCCTCATCCCCACTGAAACTCACCTCTCTCTCCCTCTCTCTTCCATTCTCCCCCATCTCTCCCCCCTCTTTCCTCCTCACCCCCCCAGGCCATCCTAGCAGAGGCAGCCAAGTACCCATACGCAGCAGTGGGCATCGTCGCCCTCATCCCCACTGAAACTCACCTCTCTCTCCCTCTCTCTTCCATTCTCCCCCATCTCTCCCCCCTCTTTCCTCCTCACCCCCCCAGGCCATCCTAGCAGAGGCAGCCAAGTACCCATACGCAGCAGTGGGCATCGTCGCCCTCATCCCCACTGAAACTCACCTCTCTCTCCCTCTCTCTTCCATTCTCCCCCATCTCTCCCCCCTCTTTCCTCCTCACCCCCCCAGGCCATCCTAGCAGAGGCAGCCAAGTACCCATACGCAGCAGTGGGCATCATCATCCTCATCCCCCTCGTGCCCTTCCTGCTGCTCGTCTCTGTGCTGCTCTCCTCGCCCAAGCGACCGGCAGGGCAGGTGAGCACAGCAGTAGGGTAAGGAAGTGAGGTTGACATGAAGGTTGGAATTGTTGGGAGGAAGTGTGTTCAGGGGCTGGGGGTAAGTTGTGTGATGATGCAGGGTTGAGTATGAGGCAAGTTGAGCTCAGGACTTGCACATGGGCCAAGGCGTGGCATCATCATCCTCATCCCCCTCGTGCCCTTCCTGCTGCTCATCTCTGTGCTGCTCTCCTCGCCCAAGCGGCCCGCAGGCTGAGGGGTACGGTTGCAGGCCAGGTAATCTCAGGACTTGGGGATGTGGGAGGAGGTTTGGCCGCTTTTGTGGGTTGCAGGGATATGGGAGGGGAATGAGGTCAGACTGAGGGGTACGGTTGCATGCGAGATGTTTTTCGAGTCGACTCAAAAGGCGGCCGGCAAACCAGGCGAGGTCATGACTTTGGGATGTGGAAGCCAGAAAGGTGGGAATCAGGGGTTGGGGGTATGGGGGGAGTGAGACCAGACTGAGGAGGAGTTGGGGCTGTTGAGGTAATTCAGGTTTTGAACCAGGTTGAGGTGAGCTATTCTTGAGCCTCCTTAAATTGGCTCAGAACTTTCATGTGCCAAGCGGCACATGTGTGGTGGTGAGCACATAAGTTGGTTCTGGGACGTCTCCAAACCAATATCTCCATGTCTCCTGCTGTGCTTGTCGTCCCGAGCAGGTGTCTCTAGAGAGGGCCAAGAAGGAGGATATTTCTGCCCCTGATGATGCTCCAGAGGAGGCTAAGGACGAGCCTAAGGATGATGTCAAGGAGAAGGCTGAGGCTGCTGCAGCAGATGAGCCTAACGAGGGTACCACAGAGCCTGCTGAAGCAGAGGAGCCTGCTGAGCCTGCACCTCCGGAACCCGTTCCTGCAGCTTCGGAAGCCCAGGCTGCGGGCGCGGAGGAGGAGGCGAAGGAGGGGGGTGAGACCAAGGTGAGGCGGCGCACACGCGGGGATTGACGCAGGGGAGGAAATGACGCAGCTGTCACAGTGGCTTGGGGAGAGCTGGATCTCACATGCAGTGATTCTTTTAGTCGACTAAAAAATATATTACAGAGAGGAGGCGCATGATTCACGTATTGATGAAGCGGCAGAGGGGTGGCTGGACGGGACCGGACCGGACTGGTACCTGCACTACAAGGGAAAATATGCCGTTCGTAACCATCATGGGACTCGAAAACATGTTTGGTAAAAAAATAAAGGGTACGGTCACTGCAAAGGGTGTTTTCACACGACTGATAAAGCGTTTCACGGAATCAGTCACAATCAGCTGGTAAAAAAAAACGCGAATGGTCACAGATGAAACTCCCGCCAAAACAAAATGAAACCCAGAAAGAACCTGGATGCATTTTCGGATGATCAACCCTAAACACGTAACTCGCCAGGTGTTTAGGGTTGATCCGTTCCCAAACCGCTTCCGATTCCGATTGGGTTTTAGTTTTTTTACAAGTTCGCAGATTGGTTGGGCGCGAGCGGGAATTTTGTTGAGTTTCAAGTTTTTTTGGCGGGAGTTACATGTGTGACCATTCGCGTGATTTTTTACCTGTTGTTAGTGACTGAATCCGTGACCCCGCTTACCAAACCCGTCAGAAAACCCGATACAGTGACCGTTCGCGTTTTTTTTTTACCATTCACGTTATCGAGTCCCAAGTTGGTTACTTGTGGCATATTCTCCCGCACTACAATGCTGCAATTCTGGTCCATGTTGCAGGTGACATTCTAGATGGAGACTTCCATGTCGTTTCTAGGCTCACAAGACCATTGGTTGGTGGTGTTTTTGTAGAACTGTTATGGTTGACAGCAAAACAAGAACTCATGGTTCAGCCAGTTCTCAGCAAACACAGCTACTCACACAGTGATCAGTTGATAAGAGCCTGTCACTCCATCCTAGAAAAAAAAAAAAAAAAAAAAACAGTATCTTGCGAGTTTATGAGAAAAACCACCCACGTGTGAGTATGTGGGTCGATAGCATCAGTTGATAAGAGCCTGTCAGTCCATTGGCACGGCAGGATCGGGCTGGCCTATCTTGTTGGGTCGCACTATGATCACTGGCATGGGGCAATGGTGCGCGCAGTACTCACTCACACTGCCCAGCACCAGCCTGCAGGTATGGGAGGGATGGGAAGTGGTTTGGGGTTCGGGGGAAGGGGAGGGGAGAGGGGGTTACTGGGTAGAGCAGCAGACAGCAAGGGGCAGTGTTCGGTTTCTGAGTCACGAATCAGCCTGGAAGGGACTGAGTCAGTCCACGAGCACGGCAGTTTTTGAGGCGCCTCAAAAATCGTCTGAGTCACGAATCAGCCTGGAAGGGACTGAGTCAGTCCACGAGCACGGCAGTGTCAGACACTGGTTGAAGTCACGTCTTAAGTGCCCCATGTCCTCGGCTCCCCACCACCACTGCGTCCGTACGCCTTGGCCTGCTCTGCTGCCCATGAAGCACACACACCATTAGCACACCTGTCCCCCCTGTGCGCACCTCTTGTCCCCGGCTCCCCACCACCACGGCATCTGACTTGGCCCATGCTACTTACTGTCACACTGAGCACACATGGTTCCCCCCTTTGTGCGCACCTCTTCAGAACACCGTGCCCACGGCTCCCCACCACCACGGCATCCACCTTGGCCTGCTCTGCTGCCTGTGAAGCACACATTGAGCGCACCTACCCTCCTCCACCACTTACACACCGTGTTCACTCACGCACCTCTTGAGCACGCCATGTCCCCGGCTCCCCACCACCACGGCGTCTGCCTTGGCCTGCTCTGCTGCTGCCTGTAAAGCACAGCATAAGCATACCTGGTCCCCCAGGGCTCACCTCTTGAGAGCCCCGTGCCCACGACTCCCCACCACCACCGCATCCGCCTTGGCCTGCTCCGCTGCCTCGGATATCGACAGCCTGGCATCGCCGATCATCACACGCGTCTCGCACAGCAGCTGCCACGTCAGCACAGAAGAGGAGGCAGGGGTTGGGGGAGAACGCATTGAGAGAGGAGGGAGCAGAAGGGTTAAGCATGCATCCGTGTGCTCATCATTTACACATTACACCCCTCGCACTGCTCATCATTTACACATTACACCCCTCGCACTGCTCATCATTTACACATTACACCCCTCGCACTGCTCATCATTTACACATTACACCAGCAGCTCACTATTCGCTCCCAGTAAACCTCTTGAGTCGACTCAAAAGTCATTTAGAGTCGACTCAAGAGCTAAGCATGCATCCTAAGCATGCATCCCAAGCATGCATCCTAAGCATGCATCCTAAGCATGCATCCTAAGCATGCATCCTAAGCATGCATCCCAAGCATGCATCCTAAGCATGCATCCTAAGCATGCATCCCAAGCATGCATCCTAAGCATGCATCCGAGTGCTCATCATTTACAAATTACACCAGCAGCTCACTATTCGCTCCCAGTAAACCTCTCCTCACCTCGCGCCCTCACCTCGCGCCCTCACCTCGCGCCCTCACCTCGCGCCCTCACCTCGCGCCCTCACCTCGCGCCCTCACCTCGCGCCCTCACCTCGCGCCCTCACCTCGCGCCCTCACCTCGCGCCCTCACCTCGCGCCCTCACCTCGCGCCCCTCACCTCGCGCCTCACCTCGCGCCCTCACCTCGCGCCCTCACCTCGCGCCCTCACCTCGCGCCCTCACCTCGCGCCCTCACCTCGCGCCCTCACCTCGCGCCCTCACCTCGCGCCCTCACCTCGCGCCCTCACCTCGCGCCCTCACCTCGCGCCCTCACCTCGCGCCCTCACCTCGCGCCCTCACCTCGCGCCCTCACCTCGCGCCCTCACCTCGCGCCCTCACCTCGCGCCCTCACCTCGCGCCCTCACCTCGCGCCCTCACCTCGCGCCCTCACCTCGCGCCCTCACCTCGCGCCCTCACCTCGCGCCCTCACCTCGCGCCCTCACCTCGCGCCCTCACCTCGCGCCCTCACCTCGCGCCCTCACCTCGCGCCCTCACCTCGCGCCCTCACCTCGCGCCCTCACCTCGCGCCCTCACCTCGCGCCCTCACCTCGCGCCCTCACCTCGCGCCCTCACCTCGCGCCCTCACCTCGCGCCCTCACCTCGCGCCCTCACCTCGCGCCCTCACCTCGCGCCCTCACCTCGCGCCCTCACCTCGCGCCCTCACCTCGCGCCCTTACCTCGCGCCCTCACCTCGCGCCCTTACCTCGCGCCCTCACCTCGCGCCCTCACCTCGCGCCCTTACCTCGCGCCCTTACCTCGCGCCCTTACCTCGCGCCCTTACCTCGCGCCCTTACCTCGCGCCCTTACCTCGCGCCCTTACCTCGCGCCCTTACCTCGCGCCCTCACCTCGCGCCCTCACCTCGCGCCCTCACCTCGCGCCCTCACCTCGCGCCCTTACCTCGCGCCCTTACCTCGCGCCCTTACCTCGCGCCCTCACCTCGCGCCCTTACCTCGCGCCCTTACCTCGCGCCCTTACCTCGCGCCCTCACCTCGCGCCCTCACCTCGCGCCCTTACCTCGCGCCCTTACCTCGCGCCCTTACCAGGTGACTCTCCCTCACCTGCCGCGCCTCGCACTGCGCCTTGTATTTCTCCAGCAGCTTGTACCCGACGTCCTTCTTCCTCTGCGTGTCTGCCTGGATCTCCCCCTGTGACACGTGGAAGCCTGTGATTGGTATGGGGGAAAAAGGGGGAACGGGCAGCAAGGTGGGAAAGAGAAGAAGGGCTCAGCTGTCAGGCAGAGAAACACAGGAAGGGAGACATTGTGGCAAGGCAGGAGCGGGAAGCATTGTCTTACCTGGCCGGGAAGTATTGTCTTATCTGGCCGGGAAGTATTGTCTCTTGCCGGGAAGTATTGTCTTATCTGGCCGGGAAGTATTGTCTTATCTTGCCGGGAAGTATTGTCTTATCTGGCCGGGAAGTATTGTCTTATCTGGCCGGGAAGTATTGTCTTACCTGGCCGGGAAGTAGGGGCTGCTGAGTAGGATTGGGTGTTGACGAGAACGATGGTGTCGCGACCTGCACAAGGGGGAGGGCGGACGCAGCAGCAGAGGAGGCAAATGTTTTAGATGCAAGGGAAGGGACTGCGGAAGTGGAGGAGTAGGATTGGGTGTTGACGAGAATGATCGTGTCGCGACCTGCACAAGCGCGAGGGCGGCAGCAGAGGAGGAAAATGGATTTCAGCTGCTAGGGATTGCGGAAGTGGAGTAGGAGTGAGTGTTGATGTTGACGAGAATGATGGTGTCGCGAGGGTAGGTATGGATGCAGCGAGGAGGAGCGAACAGACATGAGGGCAGGTGGAAGCTGGAAGGATGGGTGGAGTGGAGGGTAGGAGCGAAATGAGGAGGTCGTTCGGACGGTGGAGGGGGACGAAACAGAGCGACCTTGAAACGCAGAGAGAACGGAATGACAGCATCTGACGCCCACGCGTTTGAACCCCACATTCCCCTGACCCGCGTTCCCCTGACCAACATCCGCCCAACACCCATTCGCCTGACACCCACCCGCCTGACCCTCACCCCCCTGGCACGAACCGGGTTGCAGCTGCATGTTATCGAGTGCCCATTGGAGCGCCTCGGTGCTGCCCGTCGAGTCGTCAATCGCAACCACGATGCGCCGCGGCGGCGTTCCCGTCGCCGACATGTCTTAAACTACGCGGTCTTCCTGACACCCCCTTAGAGGCTAAATGCGCGGCCTTCTTATGACTGTTTGCTTCTCTCTAATGCCTACTAATGTTCAGGTTAGAGGACAATGGTCAAGCACTCACACGATGCGTACGCGCACGGAAAGAAAAGAAAAGGCGTTGGTCAACAAAGTAGGTGAATGAGGTAGTTAGTTGCGAAGTAGTAACACTAACAGCTGTTAAGAATAATGCGTCGGCAATGAGCGATAAGATGAAATCTAGGTCTGATGGTTGCTCGATTAGAGAGTAGGGGAGTGCAACTACTGCTGCAGGGAAACACAACACGCTGATGGGAAGCAGTTGAGCAAAGGAGAGACGAAAACCAGGACGTGTACGGGGGGGGGATGGTTCTCTCCTGAAAGATTGGAACTGACGTGTATTTTCGGGGTTGAGAAAACCTTGGAATTGTTAGTTGCAGTTTTGGGACGTTTCTTGAACCAGCTAGCTGGATCAAGAAGAGATGATCCGTCCATCGGAGCAACACGTCCCCTTACAAGCTGAAGCTGGAAAAAGGGAATTGGCCCATACAGATTTCGAACCTGTGACCTTCGCGTTATTAGCACGACGCTCTAACCAGCTGAGCTAATGGGCCGATGTCCGTAAATACGGGTAATTTCCTTTATACCATTTTTTTATTAGTCTTCAATTCAAACATATGAATTTGCGCGGCAACGTTTGAATCCCAAACGCCAGCGCTGACGCTGGTTATACCTTGCAAACAAACCGAAGGCGACGTCGAGCCTTCACTTCCTCGAGTCACTTCAATTCAGTCATCTTTCCCTCCTCATTCCTACTATTCCAACTCGTCGCCTTTCCATTCCCTCGTCTTTCCACACCCCTGTCGTTAGTTCTTAACGTTTGCCTTTCGGAGGCTCCCTGGCCTCGCTGTTGACTCGCCATTCAGACCCGCTTTATCGCCTCCACCCACGACTAAGTCAGAGCGTGTTATTCCGATCGACAGAGAGACTTCTCTCTTGATTCAACCAGGTCCTCTCTCCGACAACCCTTTTCCCGCTCTCACGATCGCCGTTAGCGGCATTCATCCATCAATCGGAAGCGAAGTAGGATCTTCGAGTTCTAGGGAATTCAAGTTTCGTACTCAGACTTCCTTTTAGGGAAAACGGAAAGTTTTAACTAAGAGACACTTTTAGGTTCTGAGAGCGGGCGGAATGGCGCGGGAGGAGGAGGAGTATCCGGACGAGGGGGAGGAGCGGGTGATCAACGAGGAGTATAAGATCTGGAAGAAGAACACGCCGTTCCTCTACGACCTCGTCATCACGCACGCGCTCGAATGGCCGTCGCTCACCGTGCAATGGATGCCAGGTGCGATGGTGTCGCGACCAGATAATGCCACGTGTTCTCCCTCCATTCGCGCTTGATTGATCGTCTCTCATTGTGCACTGGATGCCACGTGTGTCACCCAGATGATACCACGTGCGTTGACGTCCGGTCTTGTTCGGCCTCCGTTCTCCCGCGGGCTCCCCTCTCCGCCATTCCTCACCGCCGCCTTCCGATCGCTAAGCAACGCGCTGCAACTACGGGATATGACATGGCTACGTGTAGGCGAGGTTGTTTTTGAGACGTCTCAAAAACAACCTCGCTACACGTACCGATCGCTAAGCAACGCGCTGCAACTACGGGATATGACATGGCTTGAAACCATCTCTTCCCGCGTTTCCGTACTACCCCATTCCCCTCACTCCCCTTGCAGAGCGGCAGGAGCCAGCGGGAAAGGACTATTCGGTCCAGCGCATGGTGCTGGGAACGCACACGTCGGAAAATAAGCAGAATCACCTGATGCTTGTGGACGTGCAATTGCCTCTCCCTGTCTCACCCTCTCCCGTCCCCGTCCCGCCCCTCTCCGCCCCGCTCCCACTTAACAGAGCGCCAAGAGTCAGCGGGGAAGGACTATTCAGTGCAGCGCATGGTGCTGGGAACACACACGTCGGACAACGAGCAGAACTACCTGATGCTCGTGGACGTGCAGCTGCCTCGTCTGACTCATCCCCTCCTCGACCCTCTCCCCGCCCCTCTCCGCCCCTGTGCTGCTTCTTACACAGAGCGGCAAGAGCCAGCGGGAAAGGATTATTCTGTGCAACGCATGGTGCTGGGAACGCACACGTCGGACAACGAGCAGAACTACCTCATGCTCGTGGACGTGCAGCTGCCTCGCCCTGTCCCACCCTCTCCTCGACCCTCTCCCCGCCCCTCTCCGCCCACAGAGCGGCAAGAGCCAGCGGGAAAGGATTATTCAGTGCAGCGCATGGTGCTGGGAACGCACACGTCGGACAACGAGCAGAACTACCTCATGCTCGTGGACGTGCAACTGCCTCTCAATGACTCAAAACCACTCTCTGCCCCAATCCATTCTCTCTCTCGCCCCGATCCCTCCCCCACACAGAACGGCAGGAACCAGCGGGGAAGGATTACTCGGTGCAGCGCATGGTGCTGGGAACGCACACGTCGGACAACGAGCAGAACTACCTGATGCTCGTGGACGTGCAGCTGCCTCTGGACGACACGGAGACGGACGCGCGCCAGTACGACGAGCAGCGCAGCGACGTTGGGGGATTTGGTGCTGGGTGCGCCAAGGTAGGAGGGGGAAGGGGGTGGGGTTGGGTGGGTTGGGGGGGGGGAGGGGAGGGAATGGGTGTGGCAAGATGGGAGTGGGGAGATGGGGAGGAGGGGCAAATGGGGTGAAAAAGGGGGGCAAACGAGCAGAACTACCTCATGCTCGTGGACGTGCAGTTGCCTCTGGACGACACAGAAACGGACGCCCGGTAGTACGACGAGCAGAGGAGCGACGTGGGGGGATTCGGTGCTGGGTGCGCCAAGGTGGGAAGGGGGAAGTGTGCGTGGGGAGACGGGTAGGAGGGGCAGGGGGGGGAAACGAGCAGAACTACCTGATGCTCGTGGACGTGCAACTGCCTCTGGACGACACCGAGACGGATGCACGGCAGTATGATGAGCAGCGCAGCGACGTTGGCGGGTTCGGAGCTGGATGCGCCAAGGTAGGTAGGGGATGGGAGGGAGAAGGATGCAAGGTAGGGAGGGGATGGGAGGGAGAAGGGTGGGAGGACGGGGGTGGGGCGAAGTGGGGATGGGGGAGGGGTACTAAGATGGAATATTCAGCACCGATTGCGCTAAAGTGGTCTCTCTTTGCTAACCATTCACACCATCCCCCACCCCTCCCCTCTCCTCCTCCCGCCTTCACGCGCTCACTCTCTCAGGTGCAAGTGGTGCAACAAATCAACCACGAGGGCGAGGTGAACCGAGCTCGCTACATGCCGCAGAACCCCTTCCTCATCGCCACTAAGACCGTCTCTGCTGAGGTGCGATGGACGAGCTTTGGACGCCCCTCAAAACTGCATGCATGGGATGAGTCGATGTTTGAGGCCCATTGTGCAGGAGGGGGTATGGCCTTTACGGCCTCCCCAGGGAGGGGTACGGCCTTTACGGCCTCCCCAGGGAGGGGTACGGGCTGTTCTCGAGCCCCTTCCGCGCCCACCCGCTGTTTCCTTCCCTGCCTTTCCTGTGCCGCCCATTCCTCTGTGCCGCCCATTCCCCCCCTACCACAGGTGCTCTTTTCCATTCCGTTATCCCTGTTCCCCCTTCCCTGCGCCCGACCCATCCTTCCCTCCCCTCCCCGCCTCCACAGGTGTTCGTGTTTGACTACAGCAGGCACCCCTCACAACAGAGGGGTACGGGCTGTCTTCCCCTCCCTCCGCCTCCCCTCCCCACCTCCGCAGGTATTCATGTTTGACTACAGCAGGCACCCCTCAAAACCCCCTCAAGAGGGCACATGCAGCCCCGACCTGCGCCTGAGGGGCCACACGACGGAGGGGTACGGGCTGTCCTGGAGCCCCTTCCGCACTCTCTTATCCACCCTCTGCTGCCTTCCCTCCCTCCGCGTCCCCTGCCCCCAGCCCACAGGTATTCGTGTTTGACTACAGCAGGCACCCCTCAAAACCCCTCAAAACACCTCAAGAGGGCACGTGCAACCCTTCCCTGCCCACCCACCCATCCTCTGCTCCCGTGCTCCGCCTCGCTTCCCCTGCCCCTGGCCCACAGGTGTTCGTGTTCGACTACAGCAGGCACCCATCCAAGCCTCCCCAAGAAGGCACATGCAGCCCCGACCTGCGCCTAAGGGGCCACAAGACGGAGGGGTACGGGCTGTCTTGGAGCCCCTTCCGTGCCGGGCACCTGCTGAGCGGGTCAGACGACATGCAGATCTGCGTGTGGGACATCGGGGCTGCTACAAAGGCGAATAAAGTGGTGGAGGCAAAGCATGTCTTTCGGGTGAGTGGGGTGGGTGGGAGGAGGGAGGAGGGGGGAGGGGAGGGGCGGGTTGAGTAGGGGGTGAGTTCCAAAGCAACCACAGACGCTCTCAGGCCTTCTTGCCTGCCCCCGCCCCGTACCCCCCACACTCTCTCCGTGCGCACCTCTGCCTTCCCCCATGCCTCTCCCCCAACCCCAACCCAGGCGCACACGGGAGTGGTGGTGGATGTGGCATGGCAGTGCACTCGCGTCCTATCCTTGCTCAACCCCCACGCCCTCTCCTCCCCCCACCTCCCCCTTTTACACACCCAACCCCAACCAACCCAGGCGCACACGGGGGTGGTGGAGGACGTGGCATGGCACTGCCGGCACGAGTACCTGTTTGGGTCCGTGGGGAACGACCAGCAGCTGCTGCTGTGGGACCTGCGCTCCCCTCCCTCCTCATCCCCAGACACACACACACAGATGAGCTGTCTGCTGTCTCAAAAGCTCAGTTGTCCCGCCCACACCCTCTCCTTGTGCAACTCTCCCACTCCCGCCCAGGCACACACGGGGGTTGTTGAAGACGTGGCGTGGCACTGCCGGCACGAGTACCTGTTTGGGTCCGTGGGGGACGACGAGCAGCTGCTGCTCTGGGACCTGCGCTCCTCCGCTGTTGACAAACCTGCGCATGCGGTTACCGCACACCCAGCAGAGGTAAGAAGTCAACGCTGGTCAATCAAGTCAACTCTCTGTGTTTCAAGTCAAATTAGCGAAAGAGAGGTGGTGTATACAAAGCAGGGAAATGAGTGGGAGTTGGGGGCGAGAATGTTGATTACTATTGGCTGAGAATGCTGATTGTCATTCCACTCCCCTTTTGCCCATTCGCCTGCACATTCTCCTATCTTCAGTTTCTATAACTCTCCTCTCCTTTCTGCTCACATGATCGCCCCTCACCAGGTGAACTGCCTCTCCTTCAACCCCTTCAACGAGTGGGTGCTGGTGACAGGGTCAGCGGACAAGACCGTGTGGCTTACCATTCCACCCCCCCTTTTGCCTATTCAGTTCAACCCTCTTCTCCTCATAACCCGCAACCCACTTCTTACTGAATCCCTTCATTCCTCGCACGTGACCCTATCCCACCAGGTGAACTGCCTCTCCTTCAATCCGTTCAACGAGTGGGTGCTGGTGACAGGGTCAGCTGACAAGACCGTGGCTCTGCATGACATTCGAAACCTCTCCAGACGCCTTCACACGTTTGTTCAACACACGTGAGTGGACATGTTTGTTTGATTTCAAGACACATGTATGCACATCATTATGTATTATAAACTGTGCACTTTATCATGCATAATATCCTAAATTTTGTTTGTTTCAGGGTATGCCCACCTCCTAACATGGCACCCCTGCCTTATCCCCCTTCCCTCTCCCTCCATCCCCACCATGCACAGGGAGGAGGTGTTTCAAGTGGGGTGGAGCCCCCAGAACGAGACTATCCTCGCCTCCTGTGGCGCTGACAGGCGACTCATGGTCTGGGACCTTAGCAGGTACTACAATCCGCATTTTTCTCTCGTACGACTTCCTTTCATCATATAGTCTATATATATTTATTTTAATTTATTTTCAAGTCAGCCAGCCCAATCACCTGGCGGCTCAACCAGCTGCTCATATGTAAACTCCTCAAAGGCGGATTGTCTGTAGAATTGCAGAGATGTCAATTCTTCCACACCCCCTTTCGCGCAACACCTCTTCCCGCTCACGCCCAACCGCTTCTGCCCACCCCCCCCCCCCCCCCCCCTTCATCCTGAACCTTGATCTCAGGATCGGCGAGCAGCAGGCGCCAGATGATGCCGAGGATGGGCCGCCCGAGCTACTGTTCATCCACGGGGGCCACACGAGCAAAATATCTGATTTCTCGTGGAACGGCAATGATGACTGGGTGATTGCCAGCGTGGCAGAGGATAATATCCTGCAGATTTGGCAGATGGCTGAAAATATCTACCTGGATGACGAGGAGGAGGAAGGGGGGGAGGCGGATGGGGGGAGAGATGGAGGGGGGAGAAGAAGGATGACTGAATGAGCGCGGTTTGAGTCGTTCAGAAGATCAGATCTGACAGATGGCGGAAATAATATACTTGGATGATGAGGAGGGAGAAGAGGGGGGAGGGGACCCGGGGAGAGATGCAGGGGGGAGGAGACGGATGACAGATTGAGCGAGTTTTGAGAAAGCGCCAACGATTTGCGTACAAATCGCAGGGGTGAAGAAGGGTGGAGTTGAAAATGCAGGAGCTTTGTGGAGAAACAGCTGGGTGGATGGATGACAGATGGTACAGGTGCTGTCTTACTGACCACCTAGCTCTCTTACAGGCGTTGCTTTCAGCGTGGTAACTGGCATTGCTGCTTGCTGTGTGCTGGTGGTGCTGCTGTGGTTGGAAAGGGATTGGCTGGGAGGTTTGGAAAGTATGAGCAGCAGCACCATGAGAAGCAATCAAATTAGTAAAAGCCAGAACGTGTTTGGTAGGGATAAGAATGACTGTATGACCATGTCCTAACTCACATGTCTCACCAAAATAGAACATAGAGCATCTTTCTTTCACCACCAAAAGTCTCCTGATTTATGACAATGCACAAGGCTTGCAATGTATACATGTTCTAATAGAAATGACAAATGTCTATGATGATAATACGTAATACGGAGGTGGTATACGGGAATGAGCGTCTGTCAGACATGTGGCGATGTTTCCCGCGCAAACACACGCAACTATGATACTCCCGCGCTTCGGAGATGTTGTAACTTTTCCCACGAAACTTGTCGAAACTCTCGCGAATCAATCATCCCGCAAGCGAAAAGCAATTTTCCCTGTTTCACGAAACTGAGGCCGAGCGCCGACGGTGCGGCGGCCTGCACCAGAGCTGGGAAAGGGAAGCGATTGTGTTTGCCCTCCAACATCTTGCTGCATTCCCCCTTGGTCTCACCTCTCTTGCTTCTGTGGATCCCTGTAAACCGCTCTAAAACCCTCTGAATTCCCTGAAATGCTTCACTGAACCCCTCTTTTCACTTCCTGAATTCCATAATCGAGCTTCCCTGAACGCCTTTCTTTCCATGATCACGGCAATTCTCTCACACTCCTAGGCATCAGACTCATCCGTTTCTTTGGAATCCATGGCTGCCGTTTGAAGTTCCATCACCAACCGTTAAGTAGGTCTAAATCTTAGTATTCTTAGCAGCTTAATTCTAGATGATCTTGTGTTCGAGTATCATGGTCTAGCATGATTGAGGAATACTCATGGCTCAACTGGTTTCGTCAGCTATCCTTCATTGCGGTCATCTAGATCACAGACCGTTAAATACCTCTCAAGCATAGTCCTAGTCGTACCTGTAGATGATAAAGCGCTACTACGTTACTTAATGCATTCGGAGTAGCTCGATTATAGAAATAGTAGCATTTCTCTTTATTCAATACTGATTAGGTCGTTATTCGAAGCGCCGTTGTGATCCTCTAGCACATCGAGAAATTTCTGCTTAAGGCTGTCAGGTACGGTTTCGTGACATAATTTCGGTTCTTCGTGATGCCTCTCAGCCGTCATGAAGCATGGTTCACTTGGCGACAGCCACAGCTGTTTCAGGCAGCAACGATGACGCCGTTCTGTCGTACACCACGACAACAACTTTCAAACAAGGACCGAGGCACAGACCGTCTCAAAACAAGGACCGAGGCACAGACCGAGACGGAGACAGGGAATTTCGAACTATTAAACGGTGTCTTTGGACCGGAACGACGGAGACGGCGAGTTCTGACGACAACGATAGAGATGAGAAGTTCTGACGGCGACGTTCGAGATATTAATTCCCGACGGACGATGGTGACGGCGACAATCGAGAGATTTCTGACGGTCAATATTTCGATGAGGAGTTTTAACGGTGACGGTTGACGTCTTCTGATGGTGACGAGTATATGTGACGGTGACGGAGAGGATCGGCGTCGATTGATGATTGGAACTGATGGTCGAGACGGCGAGATTTTTCGCTGCTGTTCGAGAATAAGACGGAGTTCTCTGACGACGTTCATCCCGTTGAGGGTACGGCTGATTTGCATCTTCTGGGGGTTCAAAGCATAGATTTCGGACGGAGTCGGGGAGGTTTCACGTTGACGACGGAGGCTGCGTTTGACGGTAAAGGCAAGCTGAATCTGATGGACCTGGTTGCCCTAAAGCCCTTCGGGCGATCCCGATGCGGATTTCTGACGGCGATGATCATATAAGTCTGCAGAGATTTCCGGACGGTGATGATTTTACGTTGTCCCAGAAACGCGTCCCCGACTGTATGACGATCGAGACGCGAAATCTCGTTCCTGACTGCGATGGCGAGTTTTGATGATTGGGATGGCGTATTTTGATGCTGAGATCGCGGGAACTAGTAGTTTTTGCGGCGACGTCGATTGATGAGTCGTGCTGATGGTGACGACCAAGACTGGGATTTCTGACGGTGACGAGGCGACTAAGGATCAAGACTGCGACTGAGACGGCGAGTTCTGACGTCGACGATCAGGTCGGAATCGTGGAAGGCTGACAAGTTCGTTGATGCTGGCAATTGCCGTCGTATTGCAGTGACAGTGACGAATGCGACGGAAGGTTTTCAACGCAACGGAAGGTTTCCAACACGACGGAAAGTTCTGACGAGGACGGCTGACGCTGACGACGGCGCTTGCTGACGGGAAGGAGAACGCGGAGGCAATTGGTGGACGGAGCGACAACCATCGCCGACGGCGCTGACATTGGTGATGAAGGCGAAGGCGGTCGAAGAAGGCGAAGGCGAAGGCGAATGCGAAGGCGAAGGCGAAGGCGAATCCGAAGGAGGAGGCGAATGCGAATGCGAAGGCGAAGGAGAAAGGCGAATGCGATGGATCCTGTCGTCCAACCACCCCACAGCTAAGTCCCCTCTGAAGCCCTACTCGCTTCCTTGCCATCCGTATCGCTTTCTGTCTTTGGTTCAATGTCTTGTCGTTTTTCTTTCTCGGTGCATGCTCGTAACCAAAACGTCAATTCAGCGTGGCGATGGTAGCGCATGGCACTGGGGCGGCTTGAGCTCATACTAGAGTCGTAGAGGAGTAGAATAGAATGCATTCATACCCATGCTGCGTCCCTTCCTTACCTCGTCCTCCTTGCCTGCTAGCTCTCTGCCCTAGTGCTGTTGTGTTACCATCGCCTCCCCTTTCACAGCGTCACAGCGCCACGTGCTTTTTATCTTCAACTTTCGTTTCCTCTACTCATCGTTCTTGTTATCTCTGCCTCCTTGCATCCATTTCACTACTTTCATGCTTCTACTGACTACTTGGGTTCCTTTCCCCTGCTCTGTTTTCTTGCTCTCCTTCCCATCTCGTCTGGTGTTATGGCAGCGTGGTGCAGGGAGGGAGGGCGGTGGGATGACGCACGGCAGGCAGTCACAGCGGTGTGCGAGCCTCCTGGAAGCCTGACGCCACTGTCCTGCAAGCACCCCCATACGGCTAAGTTCCCTCTCCCCTCGCCCTTGCCATCCTTACCGCTTCTGCTTCGTGTTTTATCATTGCCCACTTTTGTACCGCATTCTTCCGTCACCGTGCGCTCGAAACAAATGAGCCCATTTTCGAATGGGAGCGATCAAAAGTTGAGTGAGAGATGAGCGGCGTTTGGCAATGGTAGCGCATGGCACTGGGGCGGCTTGAGCTCATACTAGAGTCATAGGGGGTTAGAGTAGAATGCATTCATAATCATGCTGCGTCCCTTCCGTATTTGCCTGCTAGCTCGGCGCTCTAGTGCTGTGTGCTACCATCGCCTCTCTGTTTCCACTCCATCCTTCCACATGATTTTCACTTTACTACTATCTCCAGTTTTCCCTGCCTTGTTGGTTTGGCGCTTGCAATTCCCGTTCCTCTGCTGCCTTCCGTCCGTGGACTGACTTCCTGCAACCCTATCCTCAACTCTATCGCTTTGCTTCCACCCTTGTCCGTTCGTCCTTCTTCCACCCTTGCCCATTTGTCATTCTTCCATCCTTGTCCGTTCGTCCTTCTCCCCCTCAATTCTGTGATCAATCGTCTCTCCTATCGCACATTCTTCTGCGTCCATTAAATTGAATAAACTTCTTTAATCCTCTCATGTTCTGCTGCCCTCCTCTCTTCTGCTGCCCTCCTCTCGTCTGCTGCCCTTCTCTCTTCTGCTGTCCTCCTCTCTTCTGCTGCCCTCCTCTCGTCTGCCCCCCTCCTCTCTTCTGCTGCCGTCCTCTCTTCTGCTCCTCTTACAGCAGTGGCTTGACATCTTGGAATGACTGTCAGTGCAACGACAGCATTGACGGAGACGAGGCGAGAAGAGGGACTACATGCAAGGGTAACGTAAATCTCCCTGCTTGCTGCTCGTCACTTCTTTTCATGTCGCCCTGCTTGAGCAAGGTTATCCATGTCGCTCAAGATTCTGGCCCTCCCCCTTGCTCCACTTGTTCCTTTTGTTCTACCTTCGCTTGTCTTCATGTCCTTTTTGCTTTCCATTTCCATGACTGACTTTTCTCCTTCTGTGTGTGAGTCTGTTTCCTGCACTGTGTATTTTGACATGCTATCACTTGCTATGGTCTCGGTCCTCATTATAGGCTCATTTCTTGCGTCCCCTCCCTATAGGTGCCTTCTCCCAGACCCAGTACTTAGCCCCAGGTTGAAGGGAGTGCATGCAAATCGCCAAATCCACAAATTCCCATCGTCCCAAATTCACAGATGAAGGGAGGGAAAGGGAGACGGGAGGGAGGAGCCTCTGCACTGCGCTGCGAGGAGCACTGCGCTGACCACACCTACACTCTGGTAAGATGCCTTTGCCTCCTTCTGGGTTGGATCCCTGCCTCTGCATGTAAGCACTGCACTGCTAGCCGTAAACCCAATAGCCGAGCTACTGACCTCATAGCCGAGCCACGAACCAGATAGCCAAGCTATGGCCATACCAGAACCGCCCATATGGTCGACCATCGTGTTTGGTCTTTAAAATGTTTTTCGCCCCAAGTAGTGATGAAACTTGATTTATGATGATACCGTTCATGCATGAGTGAGTTCGGCCTCACTAATGCTTGCAATTGAGCCAACAGCGAGCCTAGTCCAAAATAGCAAATATGCTTGAATTAGCGGCAAACCAGGGCCAACTCGACAGCTCATTTTAAAATTTGCTTTTGTGGGAAACTAAAAGTTTATGTTAAGGCAAGGCCAGCTAATTTCCAGAAACTAAGCAAATCATCAGGGAGAAAGGGTGATCACTGTGTGCATCATCGCCCTCCTCTCATCGCCCTCCTCTCATTGCCCTCCTCTCATTGCCCTCCTCTCATTGTCACTCCCTCCTCTCATCGCCCTCCTCTCATTGTCGCTCCCTCCTCTCATCGCCCTCCTCTCAGCAGCAGGTCTTCGATCCTCTTGACGTCAGCAGGCACGTCCACCCCATGCGCTGAATGCGCCACCTTCACCACCTGCACATGCACACGCACACGCACAGACGTGCCAGCACAGGACAAGTGAGCTTTAGGGATGGACAATGGTGCTGAGCTGAGGTAAGTCAGCAGGCACGTCCACCCCGTGCGCTGAATGCGCCGCCTTCACCACCTGCACACGCACACGCACAGCAGAATGTTGAGACAGATAGGCACGGCACAGGGGCACATGGGCACAGAGGCACGCAGAGGCGTGCAGGCAGCAAGTAGGAATTTACAATCTGCATCAGCAGGCACGTCCACCGTGTGAGCTGAATGTGTCCCTTCACCACCTGCGCAGGCACAGGGGCATGTAGGGGCATGCAAGCACAGGAAACTCAAGGGATGGACATTGGGTGCTTAGGCACATCAAGGCATGTCCGCCCTATGGGATGAATGTGCCTCCTTCACCACCTGCGCAAGCACACGGGCACGCATGGGCATGCAAGCACAGGAGAAGCGAGGAAAGGGATGGACAATAGGTGCTTACGGTTAGGCACATCAAGGCACATCCACTGCATTGCCTATTCTGCCACCTTCACACCTGCATTCTAATGCTCCAGCTGCCTTGACCTTGCATTCTAATCCACTACATCATCAACCCACAATAAACCCACCAGACGCCACCTGCCTTGACCTTGCATCCCTGCTCCAGTATCCTGAGCTGCTTTAGCTCACAGCTGCATCGGAATACATCTTTAACTCACAACCCATGACCCACCGTCAACTCATGACAACCCACGACCCACCGTCAACTCATGACAACCCACCTTAACCTTGCATCCCTGCTCCAGTATTCGCAGCTGCTCCAGCTGCTCCTCCTCCTCCAATCTCCCCGGCTCACTCGCCCTGTACTGTGCTAGGAAGGCTGCGTCATATGCCTGCATGCATCAAAGGAGATAGATGATGTGGCGGTTCGGAGTGGTGGGGGTGCAATACCGCGCATCCCCAAAGACGGGGATGAAGGGTTCTTGCAATACCCGAGTCTCACTGGCTCACGCGGTCTGTACCGTGCTGTGCTAGGACGGCTGTAGCATCAAATGCGTGCATGCATGCTTGGGGTGGTGTGGTGGTGATGGGGACTTGAGGGTGGTAGAGGCAGAGAGTTTACGTGCGCATAGGGAGGGGGTAGAGAGATGGAGTAGAGCAAGTGGGGAAGAGGGGGGGTATGGAGAGAGGGGAGAGGGGGGGGAGGGGCGGGGGTTAGAAAGAGGAGGGAGTGAGGGATGCGAGAGAGGAGGGTAAGTACCTGCAGGCCCAGGTGCAGCATGTAGGGAAAGCCGGAACGAGGCACTCCGTCTCTGAGATTGGATTTTAGGACCAGATTATAGTGAAAGAGACGCATGACCACAGGGTACACAGGGAATGTAGGCGGAAACTTGATTACTCTGACAATGGATGGAGCTGTGAGCGGATGTGAGACTGGTGGGGAATGCATCAGCATTGCTGAGAAACAAAAAGGTCTTTCACAGTAGACGACACTTTTATGACCACTGACCTGTTGTGGGGAATGAGCGCCCGTGAGAAGTAGAGAGCAAAGCCTCTGCTGTCCACCACACACTTGACTCGGTTCGGGTCTGGTGCTGCCGATGCTTTTATGTCTGCCACTGCCGTCGCTGCTACTGCCTCAGGTGCTTCCTGTGAAGTCAATTGTGAGTACAAACATGGTTTGGTGAATGAATGGGGGAACACACGTTTGGAGTGATGGTGGTTTGGGTGCTCTCATATCTGCCACTGCTGTTGCTGCCACCGCCTCAGGTGCTTCTTATGAAGTAATCAAAAGAACATGGCTGGGTGGGATTATGATCGAGAAGACATGTATCATACCCCCATTGCCTATGGAAGGTAATGGGTGCAAAGGCTGGGCCAATAGGATTGGAAAATTGGAGAGCTGTATGTTGAGAGTTGCGTTACCTGCAACGCAATGACAACCGCGTTTGTAGTAGCCGGGTGAGTGAGAGGCGCGCCCCCTGAATGTCCACCGCCACGTTCCACTGCCCTGCCCCTTGACCTTCTCACCACCCCCTGACCTTCCGGCACAACAACTGGGTTCACAACACTGTTACCTGCAACGCAATGACAACCGCGTTTGTAGTAGCCGGGTCAATGAGAGGCGCGCCCACCCTGAATGTTCACCACCACGCCCCACTGCCCCTTGAGCCTCCCCACTGCCCCGGCATCCCATTGCTTCACTGTAGCAGCTACAGAGCAGTTACCTGTAGTGCAATAACGACTGCATCAATTGTGGAAGGGTCCATGAGAGGCGTGCCCCCCCTGAATGTTGACCACCACGCCCCACTGGCACCTTCACCTTCCCTGTGGTCCTTTGGCTCTCCCCATTGCCCCTTGAGCTTCCAGCACAGCAGCCAGCTTCATAGCATAATCACCTGTATTGCAATGACCACTGCATCAATGGTGGCCGGGTCGATGAGAGGCTCGTCGCCCTGAATGTTCACCACCACGTTCGACTGCCTTGCCCCTTGACCTTCCCACTACCCCCTGACCTTCCAGCACAACAACTGGGTTCACAACACTGTCACCTGTAATGCAATGACGACTGCATCAATTGTGGCCGGGTCGATGAGAGGCGCGTCCCCCTAACTGTTCACCACCACGTCCCACTGCCCCTTGACAGACCCCACTGCCCCACTGCCTGATTACCCCAATGGCCCACTGAAGCACAATAACGGCCCTGCCCCACTACAGTGCAAGTACCTGTAGCGCAATGACAACAGCGTCGATGGTAGCTGGGTCGATAAGCGGCTCGTCACCCTGAATGTTCACCACCACGTCCCACTGCCCCTTGAGCTTCTCCACTGCCTCGGCACACCGCTCCGAACCTGCCGAGTTGGTTCGGAAGAGTGAGGGCCGCAATGTTAGGGCGTTTGAACGTTGTTGCATTTGTGTGATTACCATAAGCATGTTTTGAGACGTTACTATCCTTGACGCCTTGACTAGATTACCATAAGCATGTGATGCCTTAACACTTTCATGATACGTCCATTGGCATGCAGGTGCACCCGGCTAAAACACCCATGCCCCCATGCTGCCATGCTCAGCCTTACCGTTTCCACAAGCTGCTGACGTCATGATGACGTCAGCACCGAATCCCTGGCAGCAGCTAGCAATCCTCTTATCGTCCGTTGCGACCACTGCAAAGGGAGGGGAGAGGGGGAGAGGGAGGGAGAGGGAGGGAGAGGGAGGGAGGGAGAGGGAGAGGGAGGGAGAGGGAGGGAGAGGCGGAAGAAAGGGCGGGTATGGGATTGGAAGGGAGTTTTGAGAATTCTCAGCACCGAACCCCTGGCAGCAGCTAGCAATCCTCTCATCGTCCGTTGCGACCACTGCAATAAGAGGGGAGAGGAGGGTTGAGGGGAGAGGAGGGTTGAGGGGAGAGGAGGGTTGAGGGGAGGGGCAGGGGGAGTGAGGTGAGGGGAGGGAAGGAGTGAGGCGAGGAGCAGGAAAACGAGTGCAGGCATGCAGTGCAGGGAGCCATGGCATACGGGCACGCAGGCATAGGGGCACGCAGGCATAGGGGCACGCAGGCATACGGGCACGCAGGCATACGGGCACGCAGGAGGAAGGGAAAGGAAGAAAGAGGGACCGAGAAGAGAAGAGAAGGGGTGGCACCAGCTAAGCGCCCCTCATTGCCATCGGCCATGCCTTCGTTCCCTCCATTTTCCTCCCCTCCATTTTCCTCCCCTCCATTTTCCTCCCCTCCATTTTCCTCCCCTCCATTTTCCTCCCCTCCATTTTCCTCCCCTCCATTTTCCTCCCCTCCATTTTCCTCCCCTCCATTTTCCTCCCCTCCATTTTCCTCCCCTCCATTTTCCTCCCCTCCATTTTCCTCCCCTCCCTTTTCCTCCCCTCCATTTTCCTCCCCTCCATTTTCCTCCCCTCCATTTTCCTCCCCTCCATTTTCCTCCCCTCCATTTTCCTCCCCTCCATTTTCCTCCCCTCCATTTTCCTCCCCTCCATTTTCCTCCCCTCCATTTTCCTCCCCTCCATTTTCCTCCCCTCCATTTTCCTCCCCTCCATTTTCCTCCCCTCCATTTTCCTCCCCTCCATTTTCCTCCCCTCCATTTTCCTCCCCTCCATTTTCCTCCCCTCCATTTTCCTCCCCTCCATTTTCCTCCCCTCCCTTTTCCTCCCCTCCCTTTTCCTCCCCTCCCTTTTCCTCCCCTCCCTTTTCCTCCCCTCCCTTTCTCCATTCCCCTCCTTTCCATCTTCCTTACTTCACCCTCCCCTCCGTTTCGCCATCCCCCTCTTTTCCCTCTTCCTTACTTCTCTCCCTTCGTTTCCCCTCCCCTCCCTCCTTTCCTATCCCCTACATCCCTCTCTCCCTCCCTCCCTCTCTCCTCCCTCCTCTCCCACGTACCCACTCGATCGAGAGTTTGAGCGAGCTTTGCACGTTCCCACGTGTGCTGTGGGCAGGAGGACGGGGAAGAGGGAAAGAGGAGGGGGGATGAGGGAAGGGTGAGACGAGAAGCGGGACTCTGTTAAAAAGGGGAGGGTGAAGCGGGCAGGGTGGAAGAGAGGAGAAAGGGAGGGAAATATGAGGACAGTAGGGAGAGTATGAGTGATGATAGATGAGGGGGGCAATGGGGGCTGAAGGGTAAGGGGAGGGAAAGGGGTGAGGGTTTAAGTAGAGTGAAACTACGCAGGGAGAGAAGTGGTTGGTGGTAATGGGAGGACCCACCCCTCTCCGCTCTTCCCCCCTCCCCATCTCCCATTCTTTCCCCTCCCCCTTACCCTTTCTGCCCCTCTTCCCCTCACCCCCCTCCCCCCTCTCCCCCTCTCCTCCTCTCCCACGTTCTCCCCGCTCCCCCCGCTCCCCCCGCTCCCCCCGCTCCCCCCGCTCCCCCTTCCCCCCTCCCTTGATATCCCTCTACCTGGATCATGGGTCGCCCCGCAATCAGCGCTAGCGGCTTCCCCACGAACCGCGACGACGCGAATCGCGCGGGGATGATTCCGATCACGCGGCGCCGCCGTTTCCTTCGCGACGCGCCTACCGCGGCCCGGATCGCGAGCGCCGTCCCGCCCACCGCAACCGCCGCTGCAGCGGCAATCGCGGCAGCGGTGGCTGCTTTTCCGGCTAGGCTGTACCCTTGGGGTAAATAAGATACTATAGAATCTAAATATCCCGAATCGGAAGCATCAGCTTCGGCTTTAACGCGTCCGACGAGCCGCTCCGCATGGTCTTTAATCCCGCGCGCCGCGGATGCCAGCCACTTCAAGGCGGCATTTAAAGAGGTATCTGACGAATCCGGTATTCTAGATACCACATTCTCAGTGCCGGAATCTGTGTGGGCATTTGATGTAATTACTTCTGCTTCTGCAGCTGCTGCTGGTGCGGGGGAGAAGAGTAGACGGCACGCGATCACGGCTGCCGCTGCGGCGCCGGCAGTCGTGACAGCAACCGCTAACGTCCCGGCCGATCCTGACGGATACATTCTGATAGCTGGTTCTACGTGGATTGGGTATCAAGTACAGATGCGACGAGCGCTGAGACTAAAAGCAGCACAAGTAAGCGAAAGGGCCCGAAGGAACTACGCGCATAAGAAGGGGATGGCTGGTCTTGCCTGGTCTGACGTGGTTTGGGGTGATCTGGCCCTGAGCTCAGCTAACTAGGCTGAGACCAGCTTAGCGGCGTGCGCGAATGCCACTGATCTGAGGTGATCCATGTTCTGTGCAAGGGTGCGTTGCAATTTCAAGGATACCCGGAAAATGTTACAAGAGCCTTAATCATTGTTGAAGTGCATTAGAGTTCTCCAATCACTGCACATCAGTCACTTTCGGTAGCATAGTTGTGGGGCCTGGCTTTTTTTTTTTTACGGTACATCTATTATATCCTAGGTTGATTTTGGGTGCTATGCTGACATTCACAATCATCTGATTCTGGGTGATTAGTCTTTTTGGATTTTGGATTAGGTACTTTTCTTCTGACAGCAACATGAGGCAGCCATGTGGATATGCATGCTGGTGCTGGCTCTTGTGCTTATTCCACTGAAAATTGCAGCAGGTACTTGTGCATACAGCTGATTGTGAATTGTTACGCGGATGCAGTGAGGGTTGGGTGGTGGTACTGTGCACTCTCTGACCAGAGAGGAACCAGGTTCCTAGCATAGATTACTTAAAAAATGAAGCTTCTCAACAGTACCGAACAATCAACCAACTTCAGTATCATGCTGTTGACAGCACAAAAATGTTCTTTATTGTTGAACTAGGAGCATAAAACACAAGCAATCCTATTTTATCATACAGAATATAGCCTCTATTTCTTGCCAAAGAATCCAAACACACTGGTCAGTGCCTTGATGGCATTCTCGTTGATGATTGGCTCATCATACCTGTCCATGAGCTCATCGAACTCATCATCGTCTCTTACGAAGGACAGGTCAGGGTCTTGACGGATTTTCTGCAATTAACGTGGAAACAAAAGGTAGGAAAAAGGTAGGAAAATGAGATATAAGGCTCAGATCGAACAGCAGTGCAAAAACAATTATGGTTCCACGCCCAAGCAGCCACACTGCAGCATGCAGTTTGGCAGCTTCCTTTAACAAGAGCTTGAAAATCAGTGTCATAGTTCCTTCAGAAGCTCAACTGCTTCCACTCGAACAAGAGCTTGAAAATCCCAGGCCGTACACCCATCAATCTTATTTTTTCTCTCTCGTACATGACCTCACACTCTTGCCAATATCTTCTCTTGGCGTCTCACCTTGTAGTCATCGAAGCCTGCCTCCATGGCCGCCTCTAGAGCCTGCAGGCCGCCCTCAACCTGCAGCCAGCGAAGGGGAATAGATGACACCAAGGCGAAAGGATGAGCCGAGAAGAGCGGGGTAGTAGGGATCTAAGTGGTCGAGTGTATAGGGAGACGTCAGAAGTTCAATGTGAGTCGCTGATTCCATCGCACTGTTGTCAGCTTGATGTACCAGTGATTCCGGTTATTGATAACGCAGTTCAATAGTCAGAAGAGCACATCTGTAGCAACCTGCAATGCACCTCCATTGCTGTGCAATAACTTCGCGCAGGCAAAGGTTCTTCAATCAAAACCTTTGCTACGAAAGCACAGCACATACTTTTCCCACTTTACGAGTTAGTCGCGGCTGCATCGGCATGGCATCGTTTTTGCTCGTTAACATTTCTAACCGCGACGACGTGATACTACCAGTTTGAGAAACAACGCATCACGGACACAAGTAACCAAAAAAACACCCAAGGACCCTCACCCAAGCTCTGAGCAATAGCACGGAGGAGGAAATACCTCCCAAGGAGCCTAACCCCAGGAGCCTCACCTTTTTGAGCTTGGAGCAGCAGCAGGCGATGTTGTAGAATGCCACAGCCTCCTCCCGGTACGACGGCACCAGCCCGATAATCGTCTGAAACTTCTGCATCGCCTCCTCGTACTTGCCCGCCCTGCCACGTGGCATAACCAAACACAAGATTTCGAGACACGATTGAGCCCAGCTAATTTTCTCAACCCAGGTTTGTCGAAGATGCCGACTGGGGTTGGTGCAGAAGGAAGTGGTTCATGTCAACATGCCCAGGATGGAATCCGAAACATAAGGAGGATCATGCATTGCTATCTAAGGCTTACTTGTAGAGCTGGAGACCTTTGTCGAGAGCAGCGGCGCGCTCTTCGGCCTGCTCTTGCCGGAGCGCCGCATTCTCCATCTGCTTCTCGCGGATGGCGTCGCCGTAGTTGCCGGCGGCCCGCTCCTCCAGGTACTTGTCCTTCTTCCACGGACCAATCTTTTGCCCTGCGATAAGAGAACAAATCAAATTGGATGAATGTTAGGCTATGACTACCATCTGATATGATTTATCGTAGCTGTACACAGTAATCCAGTTGTAAGGATAGCCACACCGTATGTCTGAATCGCTAAGCTCAACGGCCAATTCATGCCTCCAAACAACCGGCTTGAAAACGACAAAAAGGATCCATAGCTCACCTCCCATTTTCTCGAGGCGGACCAGGAGCGTGCCGACGCGCTGCCTGACGGTGTACATGACGCGGCTGTACTCCGCAGCGGGCCACATCTCTCCGCCGAACACGGCGCTCGTCGCTAGCACCTTGTCGCCCTCCTGGATCTGCTTGCTCAGAATCCCGGATTGCCCGGGGTACAGCGCGTCGATGTAGATCGCGCCGTCCTCCCCGCGGTAGAATTTAAGGCCGTACGGCCGCTCCAGCTCCACCTCGATGATCTCCCCCGCGCGGACCTGCACGGCGCCTGATTTTGCGGCGGGAGATGCGGCGGCGCGTGTGGTGACTTTCAGGGAGGGGAGGCGAGCGCCCTGGAAGAATGGGGTGGCTGAGCTGGAGGCGGCTGATGACGTGGACATGGAGAAGGGGAGGGTGCGGAGTGAGCAGGACATGGTAGTCTGCTGTGCGGCTGCTGACGTGGCAGCCGTGCGCGACGCCGAGGCGTATGAGGCAACGGAAGCAGCGGCATGGGCAGTGAGGGACGCCATGGCAAGACAATGACCAGGCAAATGGGTTCTTACGACGGGCTCGTACAGAGTTGAATATCACAGAGAAAAGGCGCAAGACAAGGGCCCTGACCAAATGGAATTGTTAGAGAGAAAAGAAACGGTCGGTAAGCATTTACACAAGTGATGCGTGCAATTCCAAGGTCTGAATTTTTTTGTTGCTCTGGTGGTGGCTGACACTGGGCTGGGAAATTGGTGATGTGCAGATGCAGAGGTCAGAATTGGAAGTGGGGAGGGAATGCAAGATAGGAGAATGATTGGTGGATTATTTGAGGTGCTGAGCTGTCGGGATCTGACGAATCGATGTTCAAGTTTCTAGGAAGGGGGATGCTCTACTACTTGGCGGGAATGCTGACTAGGACATTGGAGTTCTCCGGTGCCCGTCCATCATGGCACAGGGGGGTCTCGCAGATTGTTTGATCCTGGCTGTGAGAGGAGACACGTGGAGCGAGGGAAACTGGTGTAAACCGCTGGTACATGGAGGCTCCACGTAGGTGAAATGCTGGTTCATCTGGTGTCCGCACTGATTCGAACGACGAAATGGTTGGCGAAATGCGAAGGTTATGCAAGCTAGGCCCGAGAACTGAGGTTCGCGCATTTGGATTCAATGTGAACTGAAATCAACAACGACGTGTGTGGTTACCCGCCCTTAAGTCGTTAGCCTAGCAAGGTACAGTCACGCCATGTCTCAAACACAGACTACCAGTTTCGTCCGTTTCGTCAACAACCCCAACAGCATAATTCCCAAACACCTGCTCTGTTTCACAAACAGAAGTCCGCTCCATTTCTAATGCGAAACTTAGCTAGTGAAGGGCGTCCTAGCATGTATGTGATGTCATCCGCTCGCGACCAATATTGATGGGACTGCATTGCTTGGATGCATTGCTTGGAATAGAAGTCCATTAAATCTGGAACAATATATTAGATTTTATTCAAATAATTAATTACAAATAAGGAAATCTGAAGGAAGTACGGGGATGAACAAGCTCACTGCTCATCTGACCCATCCTCGTAGTACCCACCCTCTTCCAGCCATTCAGGTGCAGTCTCACTCCAAGACCTGGAAGGAACCCCGGTCGTTTGAAAGATGAACTTTTCCAGGCCGGAGAAGAAACCAATAGAATCGAGAAGGGGGTTGCACGCTCCACTGACGATGCAGTAATTGGCGTTATAAGGAGGTCGGTGGTGCGCGCCGTGCATTTTTCTGGAAACTAAGAGGCCGGCGTCTTGGAGAATGGGGACGAATGGAGGGAGGAGGACGCGGGGCGTGTGGGACCAGGCGTGGAAAAGCTGGCTGAACATAACGGAGGCGAGGAAGACACTAAAGAATATATCTTGCTCGGCCGAATGCGGGAGCACGAAAATGAATGGCAGCGTGGAGTAAAGAATCGGCTTCGCGAGCGCGTGCAGATTGTTCGCAAACTGTCGCTTGGTGATCGTCCACGGCCGCTTGTGATGGCCCTGAAACGCGTCGATTTGAGGCCCGAAAATCGGCGTCGAACTGTCCCCGTAGTTATCCACTCCAAAATGATACACGCCCGTTCCAAAATCAGCAAGTAAATACGACCCAGCGGCCGACGCAACTGCACCCAGCACGGCTGTAACACTCGCATCGTCCACTGTGGTGACCACGCCGCGAGCGAACAGTGCGCCGAGGGCCACGCAGGCAGATGCCACCCACGCTCTGTGCTCATTGGTTGAGACGAGGCTCGTATCCGTCAACCCCATCGTTTCCATCTTCTGCACCACGGAGTTAATCGCCGCCGCAGTTCCGGCTGCAGGCGAAGCGCTGACGGGTGCTTCAAGCGCCGTGAGTGCGTTCGAGACGACGCGCGGGGACGCGCTTGCGCGGACATCGCGTGGGGGGAGGTTAGCGCGAACGCGGAGAGTTGCGGGGCACGGCGCGGAGGAGAGCCTTCTGGTGGGTGTCGATTTCGAGCACAGGCGAAGGCCGTGGTGTAGGGCAATCGAGGGCGCCATGATAGCGGTGAAGTCCGAATTCACCCGAGGCTGTGCTAAGACTTCGAAAGATAATTCGACAAATTAGACTAGCAGAAGTTGAGTTATGACCTTTTCAACAACCAGCAGTGATGCCTGTAGAGCGATTTGAGACAAAAATGCAGGGGTCGCGGTTGTGGTTTGTGTGGCAGCTGATAGCAACGCTTCTTTATCCAATTTGTTTCATGAATGCTTCTGGGAACGGTGTGGCGGTGGTGACTCCTGGGAGACCCCCAAGAACTAGCTGCGGCTGTGGCTCGTATTCCTGCCCCTCCTCGTCACATTGCGTCTGTCCAGTCCAGTACTCAGTTCCCCCGAATTGCTGAGTTGTTCGTGAGTCGTGACACCTGACTCTTGGCTCGTCCCCTATGGCCTATGGACGGAAATGCACCACGCCGCGCCGCGCATGGCCCGCATATTCGCTGAATACCCAACCGCACGTTCGGGCTGAGGGGAGAATTTGCGAAAACAAATTAATGCCTATGTGTCAAATCCTAAAGCGTCGATCTGAGGCTTGTGAACCTGCACCGGCATCTGCGGTGGTAGCTGCTAGCTTACGATCACACGTGTCATCAAGTCCCGCCACAAGCTCAGCCAATAGTACTGCGTCGCCCACCACCACAAATTGAAAGCCCACTGGTTCTTTCAGCCCAAGCTCGGTACAGAACTCGATACAGCGAGGCGCAGCAAACTAGACGAGCGGAAGCATAATGAAAAGTGTATATAGGCGACCCTTGAGGAGCTTATTGAGTAACTCCATGTGTTTGTTCCATACAGTACCGTAACAACTTCTATTCTCTCCCTTCAGAAGCCAAGAATGCCTGCATATTATAACACGAAAATACACGCCAACAGACGGATACTGGTTAGTAACAACATGAGGACTGGAAAGTGAAAGCAGGCAAATCATCAGAGGAGAAAACGAACACGTTGATTCAACTTGATGTACCTGTTGAGCTTGCCGTGAACACTCGACGAACTTGTTCACAACACTTGAACAAGAAAGCGGATCCTGGAAACACAGGCAAATACACAGTCAACTCGAGCAGAGAGGTTCAATCCAAATGCCAGATCTTGACCGACCGAAAAAACAGGCTCGTGAAACTTGGTTAGATATTTGTACAGAACAACAAATTTTGTCATCACACCTTCATGTTTTGAGTGTAGCATCTTAGGCATTCCTCCCTCTCAGCCTGGCAGGGCACTTCCCGAGACGGCGGTCTGCTTTGAAAAGGTGGAAGTGGGATTGCGGATTGAACTTCAGTAGCTGAAGTGCGAGGGAAGGCTGGAAGTCCTTGCCTGTTTTCAGCCACGAGCATCAGAGCCTCAAATACGTCTGACCAAATTTCCATAAAACTTAAATTGCTGTTCACCTGAACTGCTGTGCCTGCAGTGCTTGCGCCATGTTGGTGGCACGGGCAGCCTCCTCCTGCCGCTCACGAGCAATGTCGGCCCGTAGAGACTTCTGGTAAAGTGGCGATGCGGGAACGGAGGAACCAACAAAAAAAACAACAACAACAACGACATGTAAGGGAAGGGCAGGGAGCAACGCAGAAGGTCACAACAGACATGTGAGGACAGCACAGGATGTCAGATCACCCAGATCGCAGCAGTCCTACAGTGTGGTTCACACAACTCCCACACCACCCACATCACTCATGAGTCTTCTCCAAGTCCGCCAGCTCTTCCTTTCTCCGCTGCACTCTGTACGCCACCTCTGCCTCACAGCGCTCCTGTACAGTTTCACCTTAGTTCACACATCTCCCACACATCCCACACCGCTTACCACTTGCTCCAAAGTCTTCTCCAAGTCCGCCAGCTCTTCCTTTCTCCGCTGCACTCTGTACGCCGCCTCTGCCTCTGCTGCAAACCCCACCCCGGAGGCAGAACACCACCAGAATCAGCAGCAACGGCCGAATCGGCTACCACAGAAGCAGCCACAGCAGAGCCGAAGAACAGGGGATTCAGGCTGGGAGGAAGAGGCGGAGGAGCATGCAGCAGTGCAGACGAGACGCTGCCTCCATCTGTCATTCCTCTTCCCGCTTGATTTCTGCCATGTTCCCCGCGCCCCCCCCTACCCTTCCCCTTCTTTCCCGCTCGTTTCCGCTCCTTCTCGCTCGCTTCCTCTGCAAGCATCTTCCGCACGAAACGGTCCGTCACCTGAGGTGGGGCGAGGGCGAATGAGGGGGAATGGGCATTGGGGCGTGCGGTTTCCTCTGACAGCAGCTTCCGCACGAACCGGTCCGTCACCTGATGCATGGCCGTGGGTGGGGCGACCAGGGGGTATGGGAAGGGGAATGGGTAGGGAAAAATCGACAGGTGCAGTGTTGCGGCGTGTCATCTCCCCTGCGAGCATCTTCCGCACTGAACTGGTCCGTCACCTGCTGCAGGATGATGATGGCAGCGGGAGGGGCGGGCCGGGCGGGTGGGAAATGGGCAGTGGTTGGGGTAAAGGGCGAAAAGGGCAGTGAAACATTGCAGGTGAAATGTTGAGGCGTGAAATTCCTCGGCCGAGCATTATTCGTACAACGAATCCGTTACCTGATGCATGGGAGCGCCGGGTGGGCCGAGGGTAGTGCGTGGTGCGAAAGAAAACAGGTGCGGCGAGGGGAGCAGGTGAGATATTGTCAGTGGTTACGAGGGGTATTGAGGCGCTAAACCGATCCGTTACGTCGTAGTGGGTGGGGTGAGGAAAGAGGGTAGGTCAAATGCGATAAGTCGCAACAAGCGGGAACCGTGCAACGGACAAAATGATTCCACAATAAAAGGTAAGGAGATACGCACCTGAAGCGCCGGCTGCGATTTATCGGATCCCATGGCCGCGACGCGTTTTGCAAAACAATGGCGGCGACGGCGGGCGTGTGAGCTGATTTTTTTAGAAACCGAACAGAATGTGAAGGAGGCGTGACGAGAATGTGATGGACCATCACCCTTGAAATTGCATCTGGAGTGCACCAAACAATCTGAAGTGCAGTTTTTGCTTCAAAACAAAGTTGTGTGGAGTTGTAGCCACTTCCGACTAATACTAGAAAACGAGTCTGCGTTTAGGCGGTAGATTCATGCTGAACCTGGCTCTGGTTCGGTTGTTGCGTGTCTCCAGAAGCATATCCTGAAGCATCTGCAATTGCCCCCCAAGCTGGTTTGTGAGCCTAGCTTTTGGTAACCAGGCTTGGTAATCTGCTCTGACCTTCTGTCAGTTTCACAGTTGCCCGAAGCCTTTTGGCACGGCTGAACTTGCTTCAGCCGAACCTGTAGTTCGGGGAATCATCTAATTGGACAACGGGAGGCGCACAAGAGGCCCAGCCAAACGAGCCTAGAATGATGTCACATGGGAATGGTTGGCTGCCTATGAGTCCGTGGCGGTTGCGTGCGCGCATTCAGAGAAGTTTACCATTCATGTACACCACGGTTTTGCACGGTGAGTGGCATTTCAAAACGATGGGAGTAAGGATCTACCATCCACTGGGCAGAAGGCTTCTGAAGCGCACAGAACGATCAGTGGATGAACACTCTGGGGAAAACTCAGATTTGCGGATATATAGATGGAAACCATAGCTGATGGCTGATAAGTTTCAGCAACTTCGCCCGTCAGCTGCATAGTGGCCAAGTAGCTTGAAGCAATCAGACACAGGTTGAACAGCTTTCACAACAAGGCGACTCTTGATTCTAGGCAGGATACAAGGGGTATCGAAGCGCGTTACTCTACTTCTGCTACCTGGGAGCTCTTGAGACGAAGAAGCGTGTCTCCAACGATAGATCTGGTGTATCGCCTGTGGGCTAGTGTCAAGGGCATCCGCTGTTAGAGGTAGCAGAGTTATTACGTTCTGGGTCGTTGTCGAGCAGAGCCACTATGAGGCGACGTGAGAGGCGATCACGGAACCTGCTTCTCACCTGACGTTTAATCTTAGCGCATTCGCCTTCTTCAGTCTACGAGCCGTTGTCGTTAGTTTCATGGGAACTGTGGGTCCTTTCACCAGCAACCCTAGTCTAAGCAGTTTCCTGGCAGAACAGTGGTAGTATTAGTTTCCTATCTCTTCGACTGAAGTATCGTCAGCAATTGCTGGCTGATAACCTATTGCTGGGGAACCCTCCTAGAGATCGATCAAGATGGTTTTCCCAATCCTCAAGCTCGGCGCATTGGCGGTCAAAACTATGAGCAAGCCTCTAGCTAATGCGATCAAGCGAAGAGCCAAGAGCCATCCCAAATTCCGGGGAACCATCATCAACTTCGCTCAGGTCGGTATTTGTTCCAGTTTGGCGCATTCCTTCCTTGACTTTAAGCTGATTTCGAGGTTACGCATAAGGTTGAAATGGTGGCTCTTTGATTCCTGACAACTTCCTTCGCCGAGCAATGCTTCCCTGTGTTGATCGGATTCTGCACTTGCTCCCAGCTTGTGTTTCAATAGTTGCATATTCACATCTCCTCGTTTCATTGTGCAGAGCTATCATAAGATCAACGTAGGGATGCAGCGCAGACTGTATGGCTACAGCACGAACGTGGACATCAAGCCGCTGATAGAGGAGAAGGCAGTGGAGACTGCAGCAGACCTCGTGGGCGAGCTTGTAGTCTTTGGGGTGAGTCGGCCACTTGTGGCTGTTGTTGGAGTCAGCTGGTAGCTGCTTGTCCTTCCTATGAGAATTCGCGGTTGAGTTCTGGGAGACCTCAAAGCAGTGTGGACTGCAGCAGACCTCGTGGGCGAGTTTGTAGTCTTTGGGGTGAGTCGCTTGCTTGTGGTGGCTGGAGTCATCCATTAGCTGCTAATGCCCTTCGCATGGGAGTTTGCAGTTGTTGGGGATGTCAGGTGTTTGGTGGAGTCCTAGGGACTGGGTTGATGATGTCTTTTTCCTGGGGATATTCCCTGTGGTTTGGAAGGGTTTGTACTGTGAGCTGGGGAAATTGAGTTGTGTGGAGGCTGCAGTGGTTGACATGAGATCCTGGGGTTGTGAAATGGCTGAACTGGTTATGTCATGCTGGAGCAATAAAGGCACGTTTTGTACGAATGTTTAAAATGTGACGGTGGTCTGTTGTTACAGGCTCTTTTATATATAGTGAGTCGGTTTCACACAGTGGATTGGATCAGTTGGCTCATGTGGGTGCTCCTCCATTGTCTTTTCTGCAGGTGGCTGGTGGCGTTGTTGTTGCAGAGTACACAAGAAGCTCGATAGCTGATTCGAGGAAAGAGGAGAAGAGACGGCAGGAAAGGGAGGTGAGTGTTGAATCTTAAGGTCTTTCTTATTTTTACTTGCCGATTATTTGATTGCTTGAGGAGGCTCATTTGCTACTCCATTGCCTTTTGTTTGTGTTTGCTTTATTCGTCTTAACCCCACCCAGGCTCTTCGTCAGAAGGACCTTGAGCTTGAGCGGGAATTGCAGATGCTTAAGGCGCGTCTGGATGCACTGGAGAGCGCAGCGTCTGACAGCTGGCTCCCACGAATTCTGCGAGGCAGCACAATATTGGGTGGAGGCAGCCGCAGCACAACCAGTCCTGCTGAAAACAGTAGTGGATCCGGGACAAGTGAAGTGGAGACAACAGAGTCTCATGAGGAGGAGGATGAGCATGTGCCTGAGGAAACAGGTGATGAAGAAAAAAGCCATAGTAAGGATGGTTCTAGAAAGATGTAATTCTGGATGGTCATTTGACTCAATGGTGCCGTTTAGTTATGTAAGCTATTGGTGGAGCATGATGCCATATGATTGAAGCTGTTCTTCTGTGCCGCCGTTGTTTGCACTCTGTAATTGTAAGGAAAATTCCTTTTCCTTATTTCGCGTCCCTGCTCAACGCGTACAACACTGACAGCACCCCACAATATTCCGTTACCACTCGCGACATTCGCCTCGACACCATTCCCGCCACTGTTCACGATGCGACCCAACCTCACGGTTCGGTTGGTAACCCGCGCTCCGGACCTTCGCCTCGACAGTTCCCCAAACCTCGGCATCAGGCCCGTCGCGCACCCCATTTTCCCACGTTACCGTTACCACCGTAGTTTCGCTATATATTCTTCGCTCATTCCTTCGCTCATTGTATTCTTGTCTCGATAGTGCAAACCTCGCTCGCTCACTCAATTGCACTCGTAACACTTGGTTATCAGAGCATACGATCTTCTCTCGGACCGCACCCACACCTTCGCTTCCCCACTATCAATTTTTTTGGGGGGGTATACGTCTCTCAGCGATCAAGCACCGCCGCTCGTAGTGCTCTCTCGTAAGCACGCACGGCCACGACAGAGGCTCTCGCTGAGCTTGCCCGACACCCCCGCCATGGCAGAACTCAATGTCGCGACACTGACACAGGAGTAACTAGATCGGCTCATGCGCCAACTCGAAGAATCGGCGCTTGAAATCGCCACACTCACGGCGGAACGCGACTTCGCTCGCCAACAATCGACAGTGAACGCACCAGCACCAACACATGCACCTGCACATTCGGAGGACCCGATTGTCATCTCCTCCGGCACACCGACACAGAATGACAGCGTGGGACAGCGCTCAGGCGCAGCCAGTGAGGGCGCCACTCACTCGATGCCTGGCATGGAGAGAAAGAGGACCGCACCGAGCCCACGGGAGCCCCGCGAGTCCCGACGGCACGTGGAATTTGCGGCGACAAGTGGCGAGTATGTCGTCACGACACCAATGCCACTCAAGCCGCAGCGTCCGCCCTGTCTCAACCCGAGCCAACGTGGGGGTCCGACGGTTCAGTCGTGGGTCTTCACGATGAACGTCTTTTTCGACGCCAATTATGTCGAGTCGGACGCAGCGAAGATTCGCTACGCTGTTTTGCTGCTGAGGGGCCCTGCCATGGACTGGTGGCGAGTCATCGTGACGTCGCCACGCGCCTACGAGCCACCGTCGCGAGAAGACGGGCCCACGGGCCCAGCCGTCACCTTCTGTCTGCTCAGCTTGTTTCCTCTTCTCCACCACCTTAGACACTTCCTCCCGTCGCACTGCCAGAGTCACAAGGGTCTGTTGCCCCCCCACCACCACCATCCCCTCCTCCACCCCTCCCTTCCTTCCCTCTCCCCCAACCTTGGCCCTGGCCTTGGCGGTTCGGGCCGAGCCTGCCACGGCGGCTTGCGCGGCTTCGGGCGTTTCGAAACGGACGAACGCCGAGCCTCCGGGACGCCTAAGGGGATTCAGCAGGTAGTGTGGTGGGGTGCATTGGAGTCGAGAGGAGTAAGGCAGTGTGACTTATTAGAATAAAAGAATGCACTCATGCTGTTGATAAGAAAACGCACCTGGTAACCGGCCGGGACACATGGCTTAGCATGCAACACACCTCGTACAGTCACAGCAACCCACCAGATAGCCGGGACACATCGTGTAACCTGCATGCGCCATGGACAGTCACAGCAACCCACCTGGTAACCGGGTGAGCTTTGAGATGTCTGAAAAACACAGCAACTCACCTGGTAACCGGGTGACCTGTTTGAGACGTCTCAAAAACACAGCAACTCACCTGGTAACCGGGTGAGCTTTGAGATGTCTGAAAAACACAGCAACTCACCTGGTAACCGGGTGACCTGTTTGAGACGTCTAAAAAACACAGCAACTCACCTGGTAACCGGGTGAGCTTTGAGATGTCTGAAAAACACAGCAACTCACCTGGTAACCGGGTGACCTGTTTGAGACGTCTCAAAAACACAGCAACTCACCTGGTAACCGGGTGAGCTTTGAGATGTCTGAAAAACACAGCAACTCACCTGGTAACCGGGTGACCTGTTTGAGACGTCTCAAAAACACAGCAACTCACCTGGTAACCGGGTGAGCTTTGAGATGTCTGAAAAACACAGCAACTCACCTGGTAACCGGGTGACCTGTTTGAGACGTCTCAAAAACACAGCAACTCACCTGGTAACCGGGTGCAGCACAGCACCGCGCAACAGTCAACCACCTTGCAGAACAGATCAAACGCCTCATAGCACAGGTGCGACAGGTGTGACTAGTAACAACACGGCTTACAAAGCACGACCCAACACAGCCACTCACCTGGTAACGGGGTGCAGCACGACTCTGCAGTCAGCCACCTTGCCGAACCGTTCAAAGGCTGCTCGAATGCGGTCAGCTGAGGCATCCACAGGCAGGTTCCTCACAAACACCGTCGCTGGCGGCGCCTCTGCCTTCTCGCCCTTCCCATCCTTCCCTTCCGTCACCTCCCCTTCCTCCACACCCGTCCCTTCCTTGCCATCACGAGAGCCTGTCTTCTTTCCCTCGCCAACCTTCCCTGCCTTTCCCTCCTTCCCCTCCTTCCCCTTTTTCGCTGCATCCCCTTCCTTCCCACCTTTCACAGCCACACCTTTTGCTTTCAACCCCACTTCCTCCCCTGCGCCCTCCATCCCCTCCTCCCCCTTCCCCTGCTCAACCACTCGGGACAGCACCCGTAGCATCATATCCTTCTCACTCCCTTGCACGGCACCACTGCTGCCACCACCACCCATCTCCATCTCCCAATCTACCTCCTCCTCCTCCTCATCATCTGTTTCATCCTCCTCGTCCTCTTCTTCCTCTTCCCCCTCCTCGTCCTCCTCCTCCTCTCCCTCCTCACTCTCATCCTCAACCTCTTCCTCCTCACTCCCTTCTTCCTCCTCTTCCTCCTCTTCATCTTCATCATCATCCTCCTCATCCTCCTCCTCTGCTTCCATATCCAAAAGACTCTTCACCCTTGCTTCTCTCTCCTCATCCTCCTCCTCTTCTTCCATTTCCTGCTCCTCTTCCTCGTCATCCTCCTCCTCCACTTCCTCTTCCATTTCCTCCGCTTCCTTATCTTCTTCTTCCTCTTCCTCCCCTCCCTCGGTCATCTCATCATCCTCATCATCGAACAGCATCGACAACCCATCTGATTGGAGAAGCGAGGGTGGGTACGGGTGAACATAAACACGCAGAAGCACAGAAAACAATGTTCAGAATTATCCTCATCGTCATCATCATACAGCATCGACAACCCATCTGATTCAAGAAAACACAAGGGGGAAGGGAAGAGTTTTGGGGCGCCTTAAACGAGAACTCCCTCGTTCATCTCCTCATCATCGACAACCCATCTGATTCGAGAAACGAGAGAGGGAACAGGTGAACATAGTTATAAAGAACTACAGGACAAAAGAGTTCAAAAGCATCCTCATCTCCTCATCCTCATTGTCCAACAGCATCGACAACCCATCTGATTGGAGAAGTGAGAGAGGAAACGAGTGATCATAAATACGCCGAAACACAGAAAAAAAAAGTGTTCAAACTTGTCTTGTCCTCATCTCGTAATCGTCGAACAGCATCGACACGACGGCACCCCATCATTCAGAAAAACACAAGGGGGAAGGGAAGAGCAGCAAGTGCAAGAAAGAGGGATGATTGAACCAAGGAGGGAAACAACTGATACGTAAACACCTGATGGACTAGAGTTGAAGAAGTCAACAAGGGGGGCAGTTGAATGCACAGCAGGTACAAGTCATCACACACGCACAGAAGAAGGCCCTCACACACATACACTTGTGCAAACACATACACACAGCCACACCCAGTTACCCAGCCATTCACACACACACACATACACACACACACACACATACACACACACACACATATACACACACATACACACACACACACACGCACACACACACACACACCGACCTCTGTTCTCCTTGGCTTTCTCCTTCTCCACACTCTCCATGTGCTCCCTCTTTGCCACCGCCCATCCCACCGAAACGGCTCGGCCGTTGATGGTCGTGCCGCTGACCTTCTCAATAGCCTGCCAGAAGAAAGGAGGAGGGGAGGGAGAGGAGGAGGGGGCGGAGGAGGGAGAAAATGTGTGGAGGCGGTCGGTTTGACTATCCCGTGCACTGTTGACTGACTAAAAATCCCGTCTTCTGTCTGACTGAAGAAAGGAGGATGGGACGGGGAGGGGGGGTGGGAGGAGGGGGGGAGTGTGTTGCACTATCTCAGGCCTGGAAGGGAAGGGGAAAAATCTGTAAGGCTCATGCATCTCTTGACATGTGCTGTCAGTCAGAGTGTGAATTTCGAGCCGACTCAAAAGTCATCATCTCTTTGGGAATGCGGAATACTCTCTGGATGCGTGTGGCTCGTGGATATCTTACCTGTACATCAGACAGACAGCATCATGGATGCATGAGCCAAAAATATGTGTGCCTCATGCATCTCTTTACCTGTCCCGCCAGTCTGTCTGATGCTGTGTGTCAGTATCAGGTTGGCAGGTTGCTGTGTGTCTGTGTGTGAGCTTGTGAGTTAAACAGTCAGGACAGGCTTTCACCTTTGCTGCGTCGCTCTTTGTAGTGAATGTGACAAAAGCGAATCCTCGAGGCCTGCGTGCACACAGTAAAGAGGGGGCAATGAATCACAGGCACCGAGGGAGCGAGATCAGCCAAAACAAGATCCAAAGGGTGCCCATGTCTATTTGTGTTGCTTCTGTAGACATGGTCTCCATCGATTATCCATAACAAAGATCAAGAGCAGGTATCACAAATCTCACATGCACCCACCTGCTATTCACCCATCTCCCGTCCCATCAAACCACTTGCACCAGACCTCACCTCCCATACGCTCACCTATCATTCGCCTCACATGCTGCACTCTCACCTTGCCTTGCCGTATTGCACCAAATCCCACCTGCCTGTCATCCACCCAACTTCCCAACTTCCATCCCCTCACCTGCACCACCTCTCACCTGCACCTGCTCTCACCTGCACCACCTCTTACCTGCCATCCTCCCCATGTGGTATCTTGACGGCCCATGGAAAGCCGGCAACAGCAAAGGCCTTCCTCAAATCCGCTTCTGCCACCTGGCATCGCGTCATTCTCTCACCACGCACCACAAAACAATTATGCAAAGAAACATGTAGACACCCCGATCACAGGAGAGTGAGTGATGTGAACTATAATGGAAGCAAGCAATCAGGTTTTGAGACGTGTATCTCATTATTTTTTTTGTGTACTAGCATGGCAGTTTAAAGTTGATTGAATAGGACAACGACGAACAGGTACGGCAATGCCTTTCATTCTGCGAGACAGCCCAATACAGCACGTGGGATGCGTGGTGCGCAGGGCTTCGGGCGCGTTTCAAGCCAATCGCGGCTTCGATTTCGGCGCGTCAGAAGCTGCGCACTTGGCAGCAGCTCGGGTCGGTTCAAGATTACACTAGCGGCTTTCTCGCACTATGCAAACAAGTCGGCTATATGCACGAAGCGGAGCGGGTGGACTCCGCCCTCCAAGCACTAGCCCCATGCCCGACGTACTGCACAAGTAGCGCAACACCCTCTTCGCAGCAGCCATGTGCTCTGGTCGGTGTCTCCCAGGAGCAACATAGCGTGCAAGAATGCTAAGAGGGTATGCAAGGTCAGGTCGTGTGCAGCTCATCAGGTACATGAGGCAGCCAACAAGCTCTGGATACGGGCCACTCGACTCTACGGACTCATCCGAAGGCAGAGCTGAGAGTGAGTGGCGAGTAGGCAGAGGAGTGGCCTGAGGCGAGGAGTACGTGAAGCCGAAGCGCTGAAGGACCTGCTGCACCATGTGTGACCGAGTCAGGGTAATGGTGCGGCGTGCTCTGTCCCGGGTGATCTGCAAGCCAAGGTAGCTGCGCAGTTCACCCAGGTCTGTGCACGTGTGTCTCTTCTGCAGCTCGGACTTCACGTGGGCGAGTCCAGTAGTGTCAGCTGTGGCAAAGACTAAGTCGTCGACGTACACGAGGATGTAGAACGGCGGCAGAGAGGTGTCGGTGCGCAGAAACAGCGACGGGTCGGCAGTAGAAGGAGCAAACCCAAGAGCCGCAAGCGTAGTCCTCAGTGTGTCGTGCCACTCACGTGGCGCCTGGCGGAGACCGTAGACTGGACGCCGGAGACTCCACTGGGTACCAGGAGGGAAAGACCCAGTGAAGCCAGGTGGGCGGCGCAGCCAGATCTCCTCGTGCAGGCTGCCCTGCAAGAAAGCAGTGCTGAAGTCGAGAGAGTGCAGCTCGTAGTCACGGTGAGCAGCAACGTGTAGCAGTACCCGAAGAGTGGTCATCTTCGGGGTGGGGGAGAAGGTCTGAAAGTAGTCAACTCCCTGCCGCTGACTGAAGCCACGAGCCACGTAACGAGCCTTGAAGACAGGCGGAGAACCCGGCGGCCGCTTCACCCTGAAGATCCACATGCCACTGACGATGTTCGCCCCAGGAGGGGGGACAGCGTCAACGTAGGTGCCTGTGGACTTCCAGGAAGCCATCTCTGCATCCATAGCTGCCTGCCACTGAGAGGAGTAGGGACCCTCTATCGCCTCCGCGTAAGAGCGCGGAGTCGGGATGTCAAGTGCATCCGGGTCTCCCTCAGGGGTAAGCAGTACGGACACGAGATGAGGTGAAGCAGCTGCCAGACACTGGAACTCCTCCTGCCTGTCCTCAAGGACGTCCGTGCCAAGGGCACACTCACCCCCGACGGACGGAGGACAGACAGACTCAGACTCAGCAACAAGACTAGCAGCGTAGTCTAGGCGACAGCGAGCAGCAAAGTCGACGAGCTCAGCAACTAGGGCAGACGCAGCAGTAGACTCGAAAGAAGGGTCAGTGACGACAGTAGCAAGGAGACGCGTGACAGTAGGACTGGCAGCACGAAGAGAGTCCGACTCCGGGTCGGGAAGAGCAGGAAGGGAGGACTCAGGAGGAGAAGGAAAAGGGGCACGCAGAGGAGCAGTGGACGGACGCAGAGACATCCGGTGCGTGCCAGGGACAGGAGGAGGACGCGGACGCGAACCACGACCACTAGCGCGAGCAGTACGGACAGGCGACGCAGGGCGAGACGCAGGCTCACGACGCTCAGTAAGACCTCCAGTAGGACCAGTGTAGGGAGAAGGAGCAGGCAAAGGGGAGGTAGGCTGTAGCTGTGACTGCGACGGGACAGGCTGTGGACCCTCCAAGGGAGGAGGAGGACCAGCAGAAGGCGGAAGACCAAGAACCTGCTGCAGGAGTGGAACGAAGTACGGTCGAGGCCGCGTAGCGACGCCAGAAACAGCAGGGACAGCACCAGTACCCCCAGTAGGAGCACCCGCTCCAGCAGCACCTCCAGCAGCTCCACCAGTGGTAGCCGCAGCGCCAACACCCTCAGCAGCACCAGCTCCAGTCGAACCTGCAGGCCCAGCAGCTCCAGTACTCCCAGTACGAGCACCTCCGGGACCCGCAACAGCAGCACCCTCAGTAGCCGAAGAACCTCCAGCACCAGCAGCACGGCTCCAGCGCCGGGCAAACCACTCGCGCAGCTCGTGTGGAGAGAGTGGCTCCCGACGAGACGAAGCACGCGGAGAACCTCCAGGCGGAGGACCTCCAGGCTCAGTACCCCCAGACCCAGCACCCCCAGGCGTAGCACCCCCACACTCAGCACCCCCAGGCTCAGCACCCCCAGGCTCAGCACCCCCAGGCGTAGCACCCCCAGACTCAGCACCCCCAGGCTCAGCACCTCCAGGCTCAGCACCCCCAGTCTCAGCACCCCTAGGCTCAGCACCCTCAGCAGCACCAGAGTCACCAGTGACCTCGACAGGCTCGGCTGCGTCTACCTGGGACACACCTGAAGGGGCAGGACCCTGAGGGGGGAGGGGGTCTACCGGGGGGGGACCTGGTACAAGGAAGAGCGGGGGCGGGGGGAGGGACGGAGTGCGGTAGGGGAAGAGGCGGTAGTAGGGGACCGACTCGTCGAATGTGACGTCCTGGGAGGACAGAACACGGCGAGAGGTGGGGTGGTAGAACTGCCACCCAGGCGCGTCGGGGGGGAACCCCAGGAAGGCGCAAGGAGCAGCACGAGGGGACAGCTTGTCCGCAGACAAGTCGCGGACAAACGCCCGAGATCCCCAGACCCGGAACGCCGACGCATCGCCAACCATCCCCGTCCACAGCAAGGCTGGGGAGGTCTCCGGCGTGGAGACCCAAGGGTGAAGGTTGATCTGATGCGCCGCGTACCTCACCGCAAACGGCCACAGAAAATGGGGGGCAGCCGCATGCATCATAGACGTACGAGCGACGTCCATGACCATGCCAATGCGGCGCTCAGCAATCCCATTTTGCTGCGGAGAGTCCGGAAGTGTGAAGGTCTGACGGATGCCTCGTGCACGACAGTAGGCTCGCAGAAGGCCAGAGGAGAACTCCCCGCCTCTGTCCGAGTGCAGACGCAGAACAGGAAAGTCGGAGCCAAAGCTCTGCCTGAGCTGGAGACGAGCTGCGCGGATCCAGTCGATCAGCACCTCAGTGACATCACCCTTGCTGCGCAAGGGGAAGACTGCGGTGTAACGCGAGTAGTCGTCAACAACGAGTAGGAAGTAGCGCTCGTGACCCTGCCCACAGACGCGGGCTGGGCCCCACACGTCCATGTGAAGCGTCTGCAACGGGGCCTCTGTCGGAGGAAACTGGGAGGAGTGAGGGGCAGCACGCTGGCGCCCCTCGACACAGGGGACACAGGTAGGGCCAGGGCCCTGAGGAAGGGGAGGGAGGGACCGGGGGAGACCAGACACTAGAAGACGGGAGGCCATGCCTCTGAGCCGAAGCAGAGAGGGGTGACCAAGACGGTGATGCCAGAGGAGAGTCTCGTGAGACAGGAGACGACACGAACAGGGGGCAGACTCAGGACCAGACCTGGACGCTCCAGCAAACACCCGACCCAACGAAGCGACTCTACCAGACTCAGTAACGGGAGGAGACGCAGTGGTCAGTGTGTACAGGCTCGACCCCGGCTGACGGGTAAACGTAGCCAGGTGTCGGCCTGTGCTAGCCTCTGTACAGTGTGTCACCCGCTGACGCGCAGGAGTGAACTGGTGTACACCCGCATCCTGGAGGTCAGCACCACTCACCAGGTTCGTAGAGAACGAGGGGAGGTAGAGACCAGACAGGGTGCCAGAGGGAGCCGCCGGACACGGGAGGACTGTGGAGAAGCGAGACAGGACAGGACCCCCAGAGGGGTCAGCCAGAGACACTGCAACCGGCCGACTCAGCGGTGTGAGTGTGGTGCAGTCCCGAAAGAAGGAGCGAGACGCCCCAGAGTCAAGGGTGAAGGTGAGGGAGGCCGAAGCCGACGTAGTACCTGAGAGCGCAGACTCACCAGTACCTGAGGACGCAGACACACGGGCACCAAGAGCAGCAGCGTCGCAAGCACCTAGGGCAGCAGCCTCACCAGGACCTAGCGCAGCAGTCTCAATGCCCGGATCGGGCGGGAAACACCGGTAACAGTCACCCTCATCACTAATAGACACAGCATACATGGCAGAGAGAATAGCATCAAAGTCAAGATCATAGATGGCAACACCCGCCCTGGACAGCTCGCCCCAGCGAGGGATCTCTGAGGCCTCTGGGAACTGGTGACGCCACGCGTCCGTCAGGCGGCCAAAGCAGCGCTGGGTGGGGTGGGCACCCCCACACTGCTCACCCGCACGGTCGCCGGTGCGCAAAACGTAGGAGCACGGACCAAAACCCCCACCCCGCTGACGCGCAGTGTACCACTCACGAAGCTGCTGAGGGGACAGGGTGTCACGACCACGCTGCTGCTGCTGGCGCGAGCCACCACCGGAGCCACTCCTCTGCGAAGACCCGCGACCAGCACCACCGCCACCCCCGCCGCCTCCGCCGCCTCCGCCGCCTCCGCTACTGCCGCCGCCTCCGCCTCCGCCTCCACCGCCGCCTCCTCCGCCACCTCCGCTCCCACCGCCACCGCCGCCGCCACCTCCGCCTCCACTGCCGCCACCGACCCCTCCACCCCCACCTCCACTCCCACCGCCACCCCCACTCCCCCCACTGCCGCCACCTCCACCTCCACCGCCCCCGCTCGCTCCTCCAGCGCCCTTGCCC